GGGCCAGGTATCAGGGAGGATGGAAGGAAGGAGGAGGCTGGGAACTCCAAGGAAGGGAAGTGGTGGGAAGGAGTTGAGGTGCATGTACACCAATGCTAGGAGCATGGGTAATAAGCAGGAAGAGCTTGAAGCTCTCCTGGGAATAGGAGGGTATGGCCTGGTGGGAATCACAGAAACTTGGTGGGATGAAAGGCAAGACTGGAATGTGAACATAGAAGGGTATCACCTTTTTAGAAGGGACAGGAAGGGAAAGAGAGGTGGGGGCGTGGCTTTATACGTCAGGGAAGGGATAGGATGCAGTGAGACAGAATGCAGCACAGATGGGGATTCGGTAGAGGCAGTCTGGGTGAAACTTAGGGGTTTTGACAGGGAAAGAGACCTGACAGTGGGGGTATGTTATCGCCCTCCAGGTCAACTTGAGACCCTGGAGGATGTCCTGACAGACCAAATTCTAAGGATATCTCAGGGGAGAGACACAGTAATTATGGGAGATTTCAATCTCCCGGATATTACTTGGGAGACTCACTCGGCAGTGACAGCCAGGTCACGTCGCTTCCTAGAAGCTATAGAGGGAGGGTTTTTCACACAAAGGGTCTGAGAGGCGACAAGGGTGGGAAACATCCTTGACTTGGTCTTGACCAACAGGGAGGGGCTGATAGATGAAGTACAGATTAGGGGAGCTCTGGATGCGAGTGATCACTCCATCCTTTGCTTTATGATCAGGGGACTGGGGACATGCAGCAGGTCGAGCAGTAGAAGCTGGGACTTCAAGAGGGCCAACTTTGGCCAACTTAAGGCCAGACTGGGGAAAGTCTCCTGGGATAGGTTACTGGAAGGCAAGTGAGTTGAGGAGGGGTGGATAACACTCAAAAGGGAGGTTTTGGAGGCGCAAGCCTTGACGATACCTCTAGTCAGTAAGGTGGGGAGGCGGAGGAGAGTGCTGCCATGGATGCGAAAGGAGGTGGTTAGAGGGATTAGACGAAAGAGGAACCTCCGTAGGAAATGGGTACTGGGGGAAATAGACAAAAGGGTATACCGGGAGGAGGAGGCCCGTTGCAGAAGGATTCTTTGCAAGGCTAAGGCTGATTACGAGCTGAGACTTGCCAAGAATATCAAGAGCAACAAAAAGGGCTTCTTTCAGCATGTAAATAGGAAGAGGAAGGGGAGACAAGTGGTGGGACCACTAAATAAGGAGGAAGGAGATCCAGTGACTGATATGAGGGAACAGGCACAGATGCTGAATGACTATTTTGCCTCTGTGTTCTCCCCAAAGCAGGATGGGGGAGATCCACATAGGAGATGAGATGAGGTTGGGGACTTAGGGGCACAGATTAGAGTCACCCCCCCTTGAAGTTGAGGGGCTCCTCAGGGCATTGGACATTACAAAGGCGCCAGGCCCTGACGGGTTACACCTGAGAGTGCTTAGAGAGTTGGCAGGGGTTCTCTCATGCCTGCTGGCCTCCATTTTTGAGGTCTTGTGGAGAACGGGTGAAGTCCCAGAGGACTGGAGGGTGGCATCAGTGGTCCCAATTTTCTAAAAGGGTAGTAGAAAGGACATGGGGAATTATAGACCAGTTAGCCTTATGTCCATTGTAGGAAAAACAATGGAAAGGCTCATAATAGAGAGAGATCTAGTGATGCTAGATAGGGAAGGGAGGCTGACAGCCACACAACATGGCTTCCGCAAAAACAGGTCCTGCCAGACAAACCTTGCGGAAATCTGTGACAAGGTTTTGAGATGGCTAGATGGAGGCGATGCAGTGGATGTGGTATACCTGGATTTCAGCAAGGCCTTTGACAAAGTGCCCCATGATATCCTGTTGGAGAAACTGAGGAGTTTTGGGATACACCAAAGCACTGTCCGGTGGATTAGGGCATGGTTGACTGACCAAAAGCAGAAGGTAACCATTAGTGGGCAATCATCGGGATGGCGGCCAGTGACAAGCAGGGTCCCCCAGGCTCTGTCCTGGGGCTGATCCTGTTTAATCTTTTCATTAACGACATGGAAGAAGGGGTGAACAGTCTGCTGATTAAATTCGCATACGACACTAAAACTGGAGCAGGTACTCCTGCTCCTCCACAACTGAGGAGCAGGTACTCCAGATCCAAAAGGATCTGGACAGGCTGTGGAAGTGGGCAGGAGACAACAGGATGGCGTTCAACGTGGCTAAGTGCAAGGTCTTGCACTTGGGGCATAGGAATGGGTGTCATAAGTACAGGTTAGGGGACAAGTGGCTGGAGAGCAGCACTTGTAAAAGGGACCTCGGGGTGCTGGTTGACTGCAGGCTAAACATGGGTCAGCAGTGTGATGCGGTGGTCAAGAGGGCGAATGCAACCCTTGGTTGCATAGCCAGAAGTGTGGCTTCTAGATCAAGAGAGGTATTACTACCACTCTACATGACTCTAGTGCGCCTGCAACTGGAGTATTGTGTTCAGTTTTGGGCCCCTCATTACAGAAAGGATATAGCCAGGTTGGAGTCAGTGCAGCATAGGGCCACAAGGTTGGTGGCCGGGTTGCAGGGGATGGGGTATGAGGCGAGACTGAGAGAACTGGGTGTCTTCAGCCTGCAGAAGAGAAGACTCAGAGGGGATCTGTTGGCGACATACAGGTATGTGAGGGGGTGTCACACGGAGGTGGGTAGAGACCTGTTCTCCCCTGCAGAGGAAGGCAGGATGCGCTCCAACGGAGCAAAGCTCAGGGAGCCAAGGTTCCATTTGGATGCCAGGAAGCACTTCCTGACAGTCAGGACCCTGAGGGTGTGGAATGGGCTTCCACAGGAGGTGGTTGAGGCCCCATCGGTGCTGGACGTCCACATGGTGGCATATCGTGAGTGGAGCCAGCTGGTGCAGGAGGTCAGACTAGATGGCTCGGGAGGTCCCTTCTGACTGGCTCTGTTTTCTATGTTTCTATGTTTCTTTCTGTGCGAACTGAGCATCACTTCTGAGTTTCACATCTTCATACAGATAACAACATTTATGGAGTAGCTTGTGTTTAATTTAACCCTTTTGAACCTTATATTCCATTGAAGTAATTCATTCAAGGTAGGCTTTGAAGGCCAAATCCATAAAGTGGAGGCAATATTTCTGGGGTGAGGGCAGCAAGCTTTTCCAGTCTGAGGACACTTAAGGCTCTGTATTAAAGACCAGACATGAACTGGACGATTAAACATCTTTGAACAGGTTCATCTTGTAATCCTGATAAAGGTCTGTGAGGTAAGATGAGATGTGTTGTCATAAAATAGTACTAAACATCTAGTGAGACTGTTTTATAAAATTGCCAAAACCAAGGTCCACTGAGTTTTGCTTTGTAGAAGAGCTTCCCCGTGACCCAGTACGACATGCCGCCCGAGGCAGGTTGTGGATGCCGCCCTCCACCACCGCCTGCCTACCCTCAGATGCTGATGGCTGCCGAGGCTGCCGAGCTCGCCCTGGACTCCCTGGCGCTGGAGTGCGGGAGCGCGATGGTGCAGCAGGACACCCCTACCGTGCCCTCAGGAAGCTCCCCTTCCTCTGCCCAGTCATCCAGATCAGGGTTGTAGGCCTGGATCCTCTTCTCGTATTTCTTCCCGCTTTCGTTCCAACCCCCTACCAGCAGGATTAGCCCTCCGAGTGTGGCCACCCCAGCCATGCTTAAGCCAGTGGGCAGGGGGGCCACGTAGCTCCACTGGTTTGTGGAGGGGTCGTAGCACTCCACAGGGAGGACGTCCACCCGCTCCCCTCGGGCGCCCAGCTGGCTGCCCCCCAGGACATAGGCTCGGTCTGCTGCGGCGGCGGCACCGTGCCAGCCTCGAGGGCTGCTCAGCCAAGCGCAGTCCCGCCAAGAGTCGGTGGCGGGGTCGTAGCTGCAAACGGTCCGGGAGTAAGCGTTGTTCACGTAGCCGCCGGTGACCAGGATCTTGCCGCCAACGACCACGCTGGCGTGGCAGCAGCGGGGCAGCTCCGTGTCGGCTTTGGCTTGCCAGCTGTTGGCAGAAGGGACGTAGCGTTCGAGAGAGTTGAGTGTTCCCTTGCTGTTGCGTCCGCCAACAGCGTAGAGATGCCCGTTGAAGGCACTGAGGCTGAAGTGGGTTCTTTTGTGTGACATGCTGGCCAAGTGCAGCCAGGTGCTAAAACGGGGGTCATACCTATGGGGAAAACACAGGTTGTCACTGAAGGTGGAACTGTTGTGGGGCCTGATCAAGCACGGGGTTTCTCCTGGGTTATTCGGGAGGAAGGGAATGATATGGAAATACAACAAAGGACTTTAAAGACACTCCAAAGGTGAATTTTAAGCCCAGCCCATTCTGAGACACTCACACCTCCTCCAATCTGGTGCCTCCTAAATATTTTGCACCAGAACCCTTATCATTTCCAGCCAGCATGATGGAAGTTGCCCCTTAGGCCATCTGGAGGGCACATACTTAGGGAGGGCTGGGGCACACAAAGAAGCCGTGGGTAGCTGCTTAAGCCAGGCTCCTGCAGAAAAGTTTCTTCCTCAAAGTACATCTTAAATGCACCTCCTGGGTTCTCTCCCCTAATCCTGAAGGACCTTGTATACAGCTTCAGAAATGTTCCTGGGCTCTAGACTAAAACACCTGAGCTTTTCCAGTTATTCTGTTTGTATTAAATATTGGAAGCCACCTTGGGATGGTTTTTTGCTGCAAGCTGGTATGAAAGTATCAGTACATAGGCCGATGGTCTGATTAAACATACTGCAGTGCTTAATGCCTTCTCTGAATACCAGTCTGTAAAGTATCATTTTATATTCCCATTACCTGCACAGATTGCTAATTGCGTGCTTTGCCTGGTTCCGAGCATCATTTTGATCCTCTCCTCCTGCCACATAAAGAAATCCATCCATAACCACAACGCATTGGTTAAAACACTTGGTTGGCATCTCTGTTAGCTTATTCCAGTTTCCTTCTTGATCTCTGTAGCTTACATCTTTGCTAAGAGCCTTCTCACTCGAACATGGGCGCCCACCAACAGCAAGCAAGACTTTACAGCTTCCTCGAATCTTTGTCCTTCGGGACTGGAGATCATTTTGCTGATAAGGAAGCAAGTGGTAATTCATGGCATCTACCAGAAGCCTGTGACATTCTGGGTTTTGCATCATACATGGCACAGGCTGGACATAGTTGATCAAGTCTTGGGCTGGGATAGTGCCAAACCGGACATTGTGCAGGAGGTCAGCAGCATGCTTGATTCGTTTGGGGTCAAATTCAAGCCATTTCATGGCAATCTGGAAGACCATCACTTCACTGGGGAACTGAAGGTAATCATCCATCAACAATTCATTGAGCTGATCAAAGGTGAGTTTCATGAACTGCTCTGTATTGGAGAACTCAAGGAAATGTTCCCGGATGAATATCCTGGCTGCATCTTTTGTCTGGCTGAGATTGTATACGTCCGCCATATTGGCAATGTACATCCAGTTCTCTACGTTCATCTCCTGGTTGAGGAAGTCAGTGCACATGTTGAGCAGAGCATGCATCTGCAGATGGTTAGCGGTGGAAATGATGCTCCCAATGGTATACAAAGAGAGACTCAGCTTTCCAGTGTAGGCATAGGAAATAACGGTGGCCAGGCCTAAGGCAGAGATATCTTTGAGGTCTACTTGTTGGAGCCTGGAATTTCTTCTCAGGAGATTTCTGAAATACTCACTGCATGAAGACAGAACCAGCTTGTGAACACTGAAGGTTTTGGTTTTGGTGACAATGGTGAGGTCACAAAGGACCTGCTCCTGCTGCATGCGCTGCATCTCCGCCATAGCGCTGGCTCCGTGACTCGGATTGGTGACTTCTGTGGCAGTGCAGAGAAATCCATCTGACCCATTTTCAAACAAGCCATCAAGCTGCTGCTGATGGTCAATGTCCAAAGAGGGGTCCTCTAGCAGTGTGGTATTTTTAGCAGACTCGACTCTTTCCAGCTTGCTTTTCTTTGGTGCTTTTTTCTTGGGTGCCATTGGAGCAAAGCGTTGCCTGTAAAGGGGAAAGGTAGTGAAGAAGGTAGTGACTTGGCCAAGGAATACTGTAGGAACCCTTTCATTCATATACATGCCTGCAGCTACATGAAAGGTATTCACGAATGTGAAGACTCAAGCCTTCCAAGCCTGTTGTACAAACAAGAAAACACGCTAAGTGCACTGCCAGGTGAGGCTGCCTGTAACCTTCTGAGCACTGAGGATTACAGGCATCCAGTGGAGGGTGTGGAGGACACTGTAGCAAGGGCTGCTGGGGCCTGGCAGGGCCATCCTTCGCGGCCTGATAAAATGCCTCTGCACCCCTGTACAAGTGCCACTTTGGAGCCGCAGTTGGCATGAATGGCACCAACTCCAACCTTGAAATGCTTCCCCAGAGTTAGAACAGGGGTTCTGAATTTTGCTGTGGTTGTCTAGACAGTGTCCACTGGCCATAAGGTTATGCTCTAATATAGTGATACAAATAGAAAATGACCAGAGTTAAAATGTATACATAAAGGAAGTGTATTAAAAAATAAAAATTAAAGGGACACCAATAAACCATAGGTTGAAATGTTTTAACATATTAAATGACAGCCACACAAACCTTGCTTAGGTGTTAATTCCACAAATATGGGGCCACTGCTGAAAAAGCCCTGCCCCTAGATCCCATCTTAAAGGTTTTTTTTTTTTTTTTAATTCTGATAATGACAGGTAACTTCTCATGCAGGTAGGGTGGCCACTCAGAAATCACCAAGCAAGAGGAAGAACAAACACAGTCACTTTCATAAATTGTGCACATATTTGAATAGGTGCAGCTTTAGGGGCTATAAAGACTTAATAGGTCTTTATAGCAGACTTGCACTGGGTAGCCTTTCAAACAGACTGCTTCTGTAAAAGAGGGGGACGCATGGCTTAATTTCCAGCGCAGCCAAAAGCAAAAGCCTGAATATGAAGTAACGATAATTGCATTCGGAACCTCCTTCCCTCCCCAAGTTGGGGCAGACCAGGCCTGGACAGGCCGCATGGCGATCCCCAGCTAAGCATGCCTGCAGCTCCTGCCCCTTTGCATGTGCTCACATTTCTCATGGGGGCCCAGCGATTGCTCTGCCGTTTCTGCGCACCTTCCCCTCACAGCACAGAGGAGAGGGAGAGCTGAGCTGCCGGGTGACAACCTGTTTGTGACAGGCCAGAAATAGCCGAAGTGCCTCTGTCTTGCATCGCTCCGCAATGGAAATGGAGGTCAAATTTCTGGACGGTTAAGCAATCGACAATTCTCGGAACAGGGCAAGCCTGATGCAGGGGGCGTTCATTCCAGGCTGACGCAGCCAAGGGTTTTGGTTTATTTCTTTTCTTTACACCAACCTCTGTAGGTTTACAGGCGGTTGACCTGCTGATGTGAACAGGTGCGTGTTTCTCTGAATGAAGCAGCGGTCCTGAGGCCAGCTCTGCTCCCGGGGAGACGGGTTGCAGCTGTGGCCAGGGGGGTGTGCAGCTTCGAGTGCTGTACCCTTGAGAAAGCAGGTGTGGCTGCTCTCAGCCACGCTGCCCTGACGTCTCAGATGGACCATTGCGCTGCCTCTGAAGACTGTTTGGAAAGTGCAGCTAGTGCAAAATGCAGCTGGTGCCACAAGCTCATCATTCAGCACAGGTTGCCCTGCTGCTATTTAAGCTGCCTTAACTAGCACAGTGCTCTGCTTGGGTTCAGGATACTGGAGTGACAGTCAAGGGTTTCCCAGTTCCATCAAAGTGGGGCATGGTAAGTATACAGAACAGGGCCTTCTCGTGTGTGGTGCCCGAGCCCATAGATTCCCGCCCATAGGAGGCGGGGTGAGCACTTTTCTTCCCAACCTTCCAGCAGAGTGCTAAAATGATCTTCCCCAGATATGTTTTTCATGCTAGCTTTTCAAGGTTTTATTTGTTATTTTTATTTTAGTAAGGTAATAGTTTGCTTATTTTAAAAATGAATAGTATTACTACTTTATGCTTCTGAGCTGCTTGTAGTACCCCATAAAGGTCAACACAAATGTATATTTTAGCAAGTAAATAAGTTAGGGTATGCTGTAAGAAGTGCCTGAGAGTCCCATTGTGTAGATCCTTACGTACGAGTAAGGTATACAGAGTGAAATGTTTTGAAAATGAAATTTTCAAAGCATGCTTTGCAAAAGGCATGCTGCAAACCCATCCGTCTCTTCAGCAGTAAATTTCACTGAATCTACTGGAGCTTATTTCTACCAGACTGGCCTGATGAATGCCTCCACCGCTCCATTCCTGCAGAGTGTAACACCCTGTGCAGCGCTGGTTTCTTCCCCCAGCCGCACTTCCTTTCCGAGTGTATGGCCAGCAACGTTCCTCTGAAGTTCTATGGTAAAGATGAGTTGGGATTCCCAGAGTTCTCTGGGGGAATCTGGCTGGCTCCTTTAGCAAGCTGCACCTTTCCTTAATCTGGTGTCCTCCAGATGTTTTGGACTTCAAATTCCATCACCCCCAGCCAGTATGGTCGAAGGTCAGGCATGGAAGGCGTTGTAATGCAGAACAGCTGGAATGCACCAGACCGAAGAAGGTTGGCCTTTGGCTTGGCTGTATGGTAAACAGTCAAATTAAATGGGTGAAGGAGGAAGTAAAAGAGAGCCTCCCCATCAACATGCAGCTCACCTGTGAAAGAACCACAGTAGCTGCTTGGTGGCTCCCCCTTGTGGGGCAGAGGCTGGCCTCGAGGAGCTCTTGGTCTGTCCCAGCAGGGCACACGCTCTTGTCAAGGAGGTGTTTGACTGACACAGAGGGAGAGCGGGAGAGGTGAGCCTCAGGAGGAAGCAAAATAGAAACTGCTCCGGGAAAATAGAACATGTTACAATTTCACGCAGGTGATAAATTAAGGATGCAGTGGCTGGCTGGGGAATGCTGGAAGTTGTAGGGCTTTTTGCTGTGGCCTAAAGAGGAACCTCCGTAGGAAATGGGTACTGGGGCAAATAGACAAAAGGGTATACCAGGAGGAGGAGGCCCGTCACAGAAGGATTCTTCGCAAGGCTAAGGCTGATTACGAGCTGAGACTTGCCAAGAATATCAAGAGCAACAAAAAGGGCTTCTTTCAGCATGTAAATAGGAAGAGGAAGGGGAGACAAGTGGTGGGACCACTAAATAAGGAGGAAGGAGGTCCAGTGACTGATATGAGGGAACAGGCACAGATGCTAAATGACTATTTTGCCTCTGTCTTCTCCCCAAAGCAGGACAGGGGAGATCCGCATAGGAGATTAGATGAGGCTGGGGACTTTGGGGCACAAATTAGTCATCCCCCTTGAAGTCGAGGGGCTCCTCAGGGCATTGGACATTACAAAGGCGCCAGGCCCTGACGGGTTACACCCGAGAGTACTTAGAGAGTTGGTAGGGGTTCTCTCACGCCCACTGGCCTTCATTTTTGAGGCCTCATGGAGAACGGGTGAAGTTCCAGAGGACTGGAGGGTGGCATCAGTGGTCCCAATTTTCTAAAAGGGTAGTAGAAAGGACATGGGGAATTATAGACCAGTTAGCCTTATGTCCATTGTAGGAAAAACAATGGAAAGGCTCATCATACAGAGAGATCTAGTGATGCTAGATAGGGAAGGGAGGCTGACAGCCACACAACACGGCTTCCGCAACAACAGGTCCTGCCAGACAAACCTTGTGGAATTCTATGACAAGGTTTTGAGATGGCTAGATGGAGGCGATGCAGTGGATGTGATATACCTGGATTTCAGCGAGGCCTTTGACAAAGTGCCCCATGATATCCTGGTGGAGAAACTGAGGGGTTTTGGGATACACCAAAGCACTGTCTGGTGGATTAGGGCATGGTTGACTGACCGAAAGCAGAAGGTAACCATTAGCGGGGAATCATCGGGATGGCGGCCAGTGACAAGCGGGGTTCCCCAGGGCTCTGTCCTGGGGCCAATCCTGTTCAATCTTTTCATAAATGACATGGAAGAAGGGGTGAACAGTCCGCTGATCAAATTCGCAGATGACACTAAAACTGGAGCAGTGGCCACAACTGAGGAGCAGGCACTCCAGATCCAAAAGGATCTGGACAGGCTGTGGAAGTGGGCAGGAGACAACAGGATGGCGTTCAATGTGGATAAGTGCAAGGTCTTGCACTTGGGGCATAGGAATGGGTGTCATAAGTACAGGTTAGGGGACAAGTGCCTGGAGAGCAGCACTCGTGAAAGGGACCTCGGGGTGCTGGTTGACTGCAGGCTAAACATGGGTCAGCAGTGTGATGCGGTGGTCAAGAGGGCAAACGCCACCCTTGGTTGCATAGCCAGAAGTGTGGCTTCTAGATTGAGAGAGGTATTGCTACCACTCTATATGACTCTGGTGCACCCGCAACTGGAGTATTGTGCTCAGTTTTGGGCCCCTCATTACAGAAAGGATATAGCCAGGTTGGAGTCAGTGCAGCGTAGGGCCACAAGGTTGGTGGCCAGTTTGCAGGGGATGCCGTATGAGGTGAGACAGAGGGAACTGGGTCTCTTCAGCCTGGAGAAGAGGAGACTCAGAGGGGATCTGTTGGTGACATACAGGTATGTGAGGGGATGTCACACAGAGGTGGGTAGAGACCTGTTCTCCCCTGCAGAGGAAGGCAGGACGCGCTCCAACGGAGCAAAGCTCAGGGAGCCAAGGTTCCATTTGGATGCCGGGAAGCACTTCCTGACAGTCAGGACCCCGAGGGTGTGGAATGGGCTTCCACAGGGGGTGGTTGAGGCCCCATCGGTGCGGGTGTTCAAAGATAGGCTGGACATGCACATGACATGCACATGTCATGAGGAGAGCCAGCTGGTGCTGGAGGTCAGATTAGATGGCCCGGGAGGCCCCTTCTGACTCGCTCTGTTTCTATGTTTCTAAACATGCATAGGATTTGTGCCTTGACCTGCTTAAAGATGTTCGACCCTTGGTCCTCCTAAGCTGGCTTACAATATGAGGAAGGCAGGAATAGACCTTTAGGACCGACACCACAAATGCGCACTGGACTGTTTGTGTCCGGTGTGTCTGTTTTTACAGCTAGCGGCAAGAAGCCCCTGGTCTCTCCCTAGGGTGGGAGCTCCAAAGGGAATGCAGGACTCCAAGTGCTCACCAGCCAAACAGGTTTTCAGGTGGCCCTCTGAGGTTGATCTTAATGCTTGGGCAGGTCCGAAGAGGTTTTGTTTTATTCATTCATTCATTCATGCTGACTTTTTTCCTTCCCAGGGGCCCGAGGCAGCTTACATAATTCTCGTCCTCTTCTCAATCTTATCTGCACAACATCAGCCCTGCGAGGTAGGTTGTGGTGGGAGTGCATGACTGGCTCAAAGTCACCCAGTTAGCACCATGGCTGAATGAGAACTCAGATCAGCAGAGTCCCAGTCCCACACAGTTACCCACAACACCACACTCGCTCTTTTTGGTCCTCTTTAAAAATGGCTATGGTATCTGAGGATTACGGGAGTTGTACTCCAACACGTTTGGAGAGCGTCAGGTTGGGGAGGGCTGATATGAAACATGCTATTAAATAAGCTTCTGGGCCAAGCCATGGGTACTGCCCTGGAATACAACTCATGGCGGGGCATGCTGAAATGAGCTTGCAAGAAGATGCTTCCATTGAACAAAGCTGCTCAGAGACGTTCGCTGTGCACTCCAGCTCTTTCCCAAATCTCCATGCACATTTTGACTGAAACCAAACAGATTTTGTCCTGTTCTGCAAATATGGGCATACTGAAATTATAAAGCAGAAGGGCTAGATCAAATGCAGTGACACTTGGGTCCCACTGAACTTTCGGAAAGTTGAATCATGACTCACTTATTCATTTCAGTGCCATTGAAGTATAAACAGCAAAGGCTGCAAACCATATGTCTGCTCAAAGAAATTCACTGAATTTCAGTGACGCTTACTCCCAGGGAAGTGCATCAATGACCGGTAAGTCCCACTGAATGTGGCAGCTGTTTATCTGGATCCTACCCATCTAAAACAATTGTCAAAGTTGTATTACTCCCTATCAAAAGCAGAAATTAATGCAGACTTGATTACTGCATATTCACATAACTCTACTTTTTTCAAAGTAGGTTTTTATTCTGTACCTGGCTTACAAAATAACATGGGCTGTGCACAACTATGTTGGTATAGATCTCTTCTGCTGTTTGTCCTGGATGTCTCTCTTCTGTTGACAAATTTTCATTCCCTAAGGTAGATGAGCAGGGTGGCAAACTCGGTTTGTATGGTCTACTTTCTGAGTGGGGCTGGCAACTTAGAAAGACCCCATATGATTTAAATTATAAATCAAGGGGCACACTGGTTAAGGCAAAGGAATCTGCATCAAGCAATGCCAAGTGGGTGAAGTGATACCTTTGCTTCAAAAGAGCAAGTGAGGACAAAGACCTGGTGATTCATGAGAAATTAGCCAGGGGTCCAAAGCTTCCTCACTGCCTTAACTTCAACCCAACCCCTGAAACAACCAAGCCCCCTTTGCCACTTTTGGGGAAGGTGCGGGGGAAGCTACAGCTGTTTCTAAACAGCTTGTGTAGGAGCTGGTAGTGTCTTTTTAGCGAAGAAAACACTAGAAAGGGTAGAAATCTTACCCTTATGCTGCAGGCCTCCTTCGCACCCCTGCAACTCCAGCCACACACAAGCAGCGTCCCTTTCATAAGCAGGACTTGCTTTGGCTTGTGCCCACTTTTGATGGGATCAAGTGACCAGCAAATATTAAGTTGGAAGAGGCAGCTGCTTCCTTTCCCCAGCCAGTGGGAGCCAGAGGCTGCTTTCTGATCCCTACCTTGGTGCGAAGCGGTGGATTCAGGGAAGGCAGAGCGGCCAGCCGGGCCTTGTGTGCTGGGCGAGCTGAAAGACCCCGGGAGCAGCCTGGGCAACAGTTCCAGACGCGGCAGCAAGCGGCTCTGCTTCTCCTCCCCCTTTCCCAATTCAGCCTGGCCAGCTGACCATCCCGATCATATTGCCAAGCACCCCAGCCTGCTGGGAGTGACGCAAGGAGATACCTGACAGGTCTAGAAAGAGAGACGAGCTGTGCCAGCCTGCTGCATGGGGACTCCAGCCCACCCAGGCCATTTTCAGCTGGCCTGAGCGATGGAATCCAGGCAGTGGGAGTTGATCCAAGTACCCAGTTAAAAATTCGTCTTAGGATTTCACGAGGTGGCCGCTTCTCTCCTGGCTCTGTCCCCTCTGTATGCAGTACAGGGATAGAATTTATATTGGCCCGCCTGTTCTTCCACCTTACTGATCTGTTGTAACAGGTACTACGGCCATGGAACCGGATGAGGTGGTAGAATCCTGATGGTAGTAAAGTGGAAAGTACTTCTATGTGTAGTCTTAGATCCACCCAATCAGATAGGGTGTGTCTTGGGGAGTGGGCGCTCCTAAACGTGGGGCAAAAGCAACACGGGGTGGGGATAAAGGCTCCTCTCCCTTTTCCTGCCTGCACTGTAACTTCCTGCCTGCAGTCTGCCCTTCCTGTGTGTTTTCTTCTCAGAAGAACCTCCAAACCAGAAGCCAGAAAATCTGGGGGGAAAGCTCTTCACATTTGAAAATCCCAGAACCAATTATGTGCTGCCCAAAGGCTGGGAGCCTTGCCAGTACTGTATAAATTTGCTCACAGAAAGACACAAGCAGCCCAGTGGTGATTGGAATAATGTCTGTTCTTCCAGGTTCCTCCCTTCAGTCAAACAGAACATGGTGCACCTCTGTTGGCTCTTTAAACATCAGGTGCATCTAATGAAGTGGACTGAAGCCCATGGGAGCTTCTGCCTAATAAATGTATTTGTCCTTAAGGTACCTCTGGACTCTTGTTTTGTTGTGCTCTTGTTATTCCTATGTGATCCACACTGCTTTGGTCATGTAAAAAGAATCATGTGGGACTGGTATGATGATGTCGCTGTTTCCAGTGCACCATAATATCCATCTCATGTGGTCTCTGCATTTTGGATCACAGCCATTTTTATTTTTTTTAAGTAATAGTTACCTCCACTGAGCTTCTAGAATGAGGCAGGTGGCAAAGCTGAGTGGCCTCAGGATGGATTCTTCCTTCCTCCCAAGATCATTTAGACTTGCTTAACCTGGCAGCCTCCAGATACTGAAATTCCCACTATCTAGTTCCATACATCTAGAGACTACAAAACCAACGATGTGAATTGATTCTTGATTAGATCATGAGTTGCATTTAAGATCTGGCGGGGGAATGCTGAGTTGCAGGACTGTTAATGTCTAACCCTGCACTGGATTGCACCTTATGTAGCAGAGGTGACGTGTGTTGGCCCACGGGCTGGAGACTTGAATCTCTGAAAGGCCAGCCTGCCCCACTGCCCTGATGTGCAGGTGCACTTGCCCCCTGTGCAAGGGGCCTGAGGACCTCCTAGACATCTGGCTTCATGCCCTGGGGTGCTTCACCTCCTGCTGCTCCCTGCTGAATCATTCCTGAAGATTTTTTTCCTTGAAATCAAATGCCCCTCTCTTTCCCGTCCACAAACGTTTTACAAATAAGGGTATCCTTAGCAGAAGGGTGCTTTCAATATGCAGACACAGACTTTAAAGAATATGCAAATTTACTTAATTTGCATATTTGTCCAGTGGCCCGAGCCCCAAATCTGACCTTGATGTTTTTCTGCTTTTATTAGAGTATAAGACCAACAGAAAGAAGTTCGATTTAAACCTACGTTAACTGTTGCCCCTTTTAAATGTGGAATCCCTTCCTAACGACCAACGAATTTTAACGACCGCAAGCATGCTTTGAGTAAATCCCTGTTTTGAGCTCAGTAAAACGGACATTCTTAAATATTTATTTCCTCCGCCGCCAACCCGCAGCAAAAATCAAAACAAAACAAAAACCTAGCCAAAAGGACCAGCAATTTTGCGCAAAGCAAACAGAATCGTATAGTCGTTTTGCAAAGGATAGCGTATTCTGCCAACACTCAAAATGGCAGCCAGACCTCAACGAGGGAACTTTTTGCCCTTATCCAAGATGGGGCTGTTCCAATCCATTCTTCCTTCTGTTTGTTGGTTTTACACTTCCCTGATCCGAGATGGCGACATTCATCCCATTCTACCTTCCCCGGTTGAGAAGCCGGTGCCAGCTTTCAAGATGGCGGAGCCGCGTCGGCGAAGAGAACTGCGCGTCGATGCGCTTTACGCCGCTGTTTTTTTTTCCACTTTGCCCGGAACAAGCATGGCGGCGCTTAAAAGGAATCGAGAACGGCTCGGCCGTTCGGAAGGAGGGAATTCCCGAGTCCTCCTGGGTAGACGATGAAGCAGCAGCCACTTCCGCCGTGAGGAGACCTCGCCAGCAGTAAAAATGGCGGAGTCGGTGCTAGAAGTTGTAGGGAGGCTGCAGTCGCGGCTGTTGGGCAGTTCGGAGCCCAAGAAGGTACAGGGCCCCCTGAGGGGAAGGGCGAGATAAAGGGGAGGTGGAGGGGGTACCTGTGGCCGCTGAACGCTTCGGGGAGGCCGGGCTGGCTGCGTGGACGAGAAGGGCCCTCATGACACGGGACACAGCCGGGCAAACGGCGGAGGGGAGGCGGGGGAGGGCGATGCGCGGGGCGCCGCGGGGGTGGGGTGGCTCCGTGGCGGGGGAGAGGCGGGGAGCGTGTCCTCGGCGTGGGTGCGGGCGATCTGGGGTCAGGGTGCCGCTGCGGCAGAGCACCCACTCCCCCCCACGCCCGGGTGATGACAAGGGGGAGGCTCTGGCTTTCTCGGAACGGGGAGATCGGGGGAGCCTCCTTCCCCAGGGCATTCCCCGAAGGGAGCTGGCGGGTGTCAGAGCTCGGTTTCCAGCGGCGCCTGCCTCCTGCGTGTCTCAATTCACTCTTCCACCATCCCTTCCAAGACACGCTTGTTAATGACTGGACTCCGAATGCGTCGGACCGGTTGTAAGGAAGGGCTCCTTTCTGAGCTTCTGCTCACCTTCCTCCATTTTCAGGGTTCGTTAACGGACAGGGCAGGGATTCCATTCTGGTTCTTACTGAGTGTCAGTGGAGGACCATCTCCCTTGTGAGTGTGGCAGCGGCAGGAAGCGTTGGGATCTCCTGTCTTGCCTAGCCAGCCACCAACTCGTCCAGCCTCTCATATGAATTTGGATGACAGGGAGCCCTTGGTGCTTTCTGAATCATCCTCTGGTTTTGCCCTTGTAACAGCTTTACCTGCAAGTCTCCTGACAAAAACTTTCCTTGCAACAACCCCCCTGCTCAGTTTAACTTTTCCTGTAACCTGGCAAAGGAAAAGGGGGGGGGGGGACACATTGAAGTGCTTGAAGAGGTGACTTGGCTAAGTGATCTTTGGCATATGAGAGCCAGTGTGTTGTAGTGGTTAAGAGGCTGGGACTGGGACTCAGGCGATCCGGGTTCTAGTCCCCGCTCAGCCATGGAGCCAACTGGGTGACTTTGGGCCAGTCACAGACTCGCAGCCCAACCTACCTCACAGGGTTGTTGTTGTGGGGATAAGATGGAGGAGGAGAATGATGTAAGCTGCCTTGAGCCCTTTGCAGGAAAAAGGCAGGATATAAATAGAAAAATAAATAAATAAATATGTTGGGAAAGGAGCCTTATTGGCTGTTTTGGTTGGATAAAAATCTGATAAATAAAGAAGATTCCAAGGAAAATAGAAAAGATGTGAGGACCAATGTGGCAGGGAGCTATGAGTAATTTACAAGGTAAAGAGGGTCATAAAGCACCCTCCTGCTCTGCAACTGTAGACCAGTATAGCAGCATCTTCTGAACAGCTTTTCGTATCTTTACATTGAACTGATTTGAAGTACAGATATGGAGGAGAATAGATCCATGCTGTGTACTGTGTTTTAGCCTTTTCTGAACTGCATTTGAATGTATTAGTAAGGGAGTGCTTGAAGGAAAGTGCCTGGTCTCTGGTATTCATCCTTCTGACATTAAAACCACCAAGCAAGAGACTCTGTTTTTGCAACTGCTTTTTGTATTCAGCTTTCATTTTTGTTGTGGAGCAATCTGAGTAGCTTCTCTGTCTGAAAACCCTGTAAATTCTGATTGCCTTTCTGTTCATTAAGTTAATCAGAGAGAGGCATGATGCTTCAAAATAATTTAAAAATGTTTTGATTCATTTGGAAAAGTGCCAATCTCATATTTTATATGTTCTGTCTAAAATTCCCATTTAAAAGTTGCTAGCTCTTTCTTTAGTTGGCAGAGCTGTGAATTAAAACAAAACTCCAACCCATCTGCTTTACCTAATTATCACGAGCTGTATGTCCACAAGTGTGTTGTAGTGTTAGTTGTGGTATGTATTTTCTGAGAGGGGGGTGGGGAATGTTGTGCATATGGCTAGAATCTGGTAACCGCTTCAGAAAATCTTGGCAGCTGAAATATCTAGGCACCACATGGGTGAATTTGGGCAATCGCTTCCTATATGATAGCTTGTCAAATGTACCTGTGACTATGAGGGACACTGGGGTAGCCTGTAATGTCCTAGCAAGTGGTAAGGTGAGTGCTGCTGCTTCACTGCTTTGCTGGCCTTGTGAGTGGGTGCAGATGTGTGCAAAAATGACTGTGTCTGTGGCAAGTTTGGAAACCAGCAAGACAAGCAGAGATTCCACTGCCAGGACTAACTCAAGATATTCTGTTGTTCTAGGGGGGGAAATAATCTTGCTGTCCCCTATCATGCCCCACTGCTTTGTTCTGCGTGGAGATGAGAGGGATATTACTGCCCCTAGAGCGTCTTCTCTTGCTTCATAGGTCATCAAAGGGCTACTGTTGGGGAAATCATATCAGTTGGTACACGTGTCGTCCTGAGGCCTCCAGTGTTTGTCATAGTAGTTCAAGGTCCTCCCAAATTCTGACCCTCCAGGCAGTCCCTGGTTTTGTCTGTAGGGTTGGCCTGGCCCAGTTCACTCCAGAGGATGGACTTTGGTGTGCTCTGTTCTGCCTGCCTGTTGTCGCATGGTTTGTACCAGATTCTCCCTCTTATTTTCCTCCACTTGCTCCATCTTTTAGATAAACTCTGTGTGCTTTTTCCCCTGTTCTTCCCATCATGAAACCCTGAATCCAGGTGCAGTATAATCCATGAAAGTTTATGCCACAATAAATGTGTTGGTCTTTGTGGTACCAGAAATATTTTATTCTCTTTGCTTCAACAAATGTGGCTTCCTCTTTAGATATAGTTGCAGACTACTTCATGGCCGTATTTTTCTTCAAGGACTTGTTTTCAAAGCTGTCAGTTCCCCTTTTCGTGGGAAAATACTGAAATAGCTGGTGGCAGAAAAGAAGAAAGAACTGAGAACTGGGTCTTCGGCCAGGAGGCTTGTGGGTATAATGGTAAAAGAAATTTGCTAGGGAAACAGAAAATGATCACAGGAAGCCCTGCTCACCAACCCCCATCACCTGATTCTTTACAGGAATGATTTTCAAGTTTTCACGAGTTTTTGTCCACAACCATGAGGACTAGAATCTCTTCCATGGCAGTGGTAAGGAAGATTAGCTGCATTACATGCTTACATGCTTGACCCCTTCATATACACAAAACACACAAGTGGCTGCAAAGCTTGCTAGCCTTCTCCCACTTGGTATGTTACAGATCTTTTGGACTACAACTCCCACCATTTCCATGGGAATTGCAGTCCAACGCATTTGCAAGGCACCAAGTTGAAGAAGGTTGTTCAGGCCAGTATCATATTCACACACCCTCTTCCCCTGATGGTTCTTAGATTTTTGCCCTTTTTCTTGTGCATACCTGCTTTGGTGCTAAAGGTCCTCCTGTTCATCCTAAAGATTCCTTCTGTGGTGGATGTTGTGAGAGGCCTTCCCCTCTCTTTCCAGCTAAGGCTCAAATAGTACATCCTCCCACTGCAAAATAAATAAGATATAAATGGCACATAGCAAACTGCCACAATAATAAAATGAAGCCAAACACAGGGCACACTCCCATTCACGTTTAGACAGAGAAAAGGACTATCCAGCGTCTTAGGCAGGATTTTGCCTTAAATCACCCATTTCTTTCCTCTGGGCTTGGCCTTCATCCTGTGCAACCCAGTGCTGTATTTTCTTCGAAGCAGAGCTGGACAATTTGTGTCTCTCCAGATGCTTCAGTCTAGAGCTCGCATCAGCCCCAGCCAGCATAGCCAGTGGTGAGGTACGACGGGACCGGCAGACCAAGTGAAGAGGTTGTCTGACCTTGCTCAAAAGGCACAGGCTGACCACATGGAGGTGCTGCTTGGTTCCTCTTGTCCCTGAAGGCTTCTGTGCATTAGGCCAGATCCCCAGTTGTGGTCCTTGCTGGGCAGGGAGTGCCTGGCCTCCGTTATCCATGCTCTGGTAACTTCCAGGCGAGACTAGTGTGATGTGCGGGTCCAGGGCTGCATTTGGCGACAGCTTTGAAATTGCAGCGGATGACGAATGAGGCTGCCAGCTTGCTAACTGGGGCTTGGCATTATGATCGTGTCATGTATCCGGCATGTCCTTTGCCTTGACTTCCACTCTGTTTCTGGTCCAAATCCAAAGTTCTGACTGTGACCTTCAAAGTTGTGCATGGCAAAGAACCAGGATGAGGAATGGGTCCCCTTGCTGGGGATGATGGGAGTGGCAGCCATCTAATTCTGGAGGGCCACACATGTCTGTGCTTAGCAATAGACCATCATTTTGCCTGCCAAGGACTGTGCCTGGGATCCTGCAGCTCCCAATAACGGAGTTGGGAAGGAACCCGGTCCTGACTCCCCGGAGAACCGCTACCAGTCAGAGTCAGCAGTACTGGGCTGGGTGGACCAATGATCTGGTTCAGTATAAAGCAGTGGTCTGTGTTTCCACCCTTGGCTTAGCACTGGGGAATTGAGAGGTGGCGACTATCTCATAGAAACACAGAAACAGAGCGAGTCAGAAGGGGTCTCCCCAGCCATCTAGTCTGACCCCCGGCTCCAACCGGCTCTGCTCACGACATGCCCCCATCTCCCTTCTTTGCACGCATGCATCTGTACATTCAGATCTACTTCAGTGGGCATCCTGTGGGTGCTCCCCACACCAGAGGTGAGGCCTGTGACTATGAGTGGAAGGTCTCCTTTGTGGTGATGCTGAAGTTGTGGGCACTCTTCTCTCATCTCCACCTACCACCTTGTCCTTTCAGGGCCAAGAAAACCCCTTTTGGATATTTCTGCACATGTCTCAGTTTAGATTCCATTGACCGTCTTGTGCTGCTTTTGTAATACCTTGTGGCGTTCACTTTGGCTTTTGCACTTGCATTTTAACTCTTTTCATTCTTTTTGCAAACCACCCTGGGAACATGACTGAAGAATGGTATCAATCTTTATTATTCTTACTCGTGCTGCTATGCCTTTTTTACATTATAAGGGAGAAAATGAAGGCCCTGAACAGTTGCCGTGCTCTTCAGCACACCCAAAGAGTGGGGTTGCATATATGTAAGCATTCATCCTCTGGATAGTTATCTGAAGAAGTTCACTACAAATTTGAAACTGCCTGAATTGATTAGTATTGTATCTGTCCATTACTGATTTTTTCAGCGAAAAAATGATATATTGTCAACACGGAAAACTGCCCATGAAAAAATAGCACTAGAAAACATTTCCAAATATTCTGCTGCCCAATATTGTTTTGTAGAGGCTTAGCTAGTGTGGACAGAGTGGATGGGAGGGTGGAGACGGCCAGTGGGGGCACCAAGTTTGCTTGCTTGACATCCGCAGCTGACCTGTGCCTGCTCTCTAGCCAGGGCAGAGACATTTCATGTCTGTAAAGCACCCAGAGAGCCCTGCAATCAATCAATCAACCAACCAACCAACCAACCAACCAACCAATAAATAAATAAAATTTGCCCTGCCACTGACTTTGCTGGCCCTCAGCCCAAGCTCCTGCTACTGGGGGATCTCTTAACAGGCTTTGCTTGATCCTGACGACCTTGGTATAGGCTGTCCCACAATCCTGATTCATTACAGATGAACCACTGCCGTGAAGGGTTAAAGTAGGATGTCATCTTTTTGAGGTGTTGGAAAGCTTTCAGTGCTTGGGGGTCAGTATTTCCAGTGAGAACACAGTCCTAGGGTTCTCTCTTGCTGCAGTCCCCAGTATTCTCATACCCTCATGTAGTATGGCCACTCTTGCTCATCTAGTATTGAATCCACACGACATCTGTCCTGAAAGACCTGCATTGAATGCCACTGGCTTTCCTGGCTCAATCCAAGGTCTTGCTTTGACATTTGAAGCCCTAAATGATTTAGAATTTGGCTGTCCAAGGAGCCTTGTTATAAACCTGTTCAGTTATTAAGCTCTGTGGGAGACCTGCTCTTGAGGCATTATGACAATCTGAGGCCCATTTTCTGGGCCCACAAAAAGGGCCTTTCCCCGTGTCTCCCCCCCCCCCCCCCCGAAGTGTGGAATTCAGGGTTAATTCAGCCTTTTAGTTGTTTTCTTGCTTTTTCTTGCCTTGGTTTTTATTGTTTTAAATAGTAGTGCACCACTGTGATGGCTTTTTTGCAAATATGTGGCTATATAAACATTCATAATTATTGACTTATCCCTGTGCTGCTGCCATCTTAGTGGCTCAATGGATTTCTTTTCTGCCTTCCTTCCATTGCTGCTGCAAGGGAGCACTCCACTGACGCAGCAGGTGACTACATCTCTTTTCTTTTTGTCTCTGCAGCTGCTGAAGAGTTTGAAGAGGCTTTCTGAGTTGCCGATGACAGTTGATATCCTTCTGGTAAGAGTAATTTCATAATGGCATTTTTTTTACCCAGAAACACCCTCACTGGTGAGATTCAGCACAGCCCTGAAAGGACTAAGGACCCATGAGTTACAAAATCTGCTGATCTGGGTAAAGGTGTGCTAATTTTTAAAGCCTTAAGTAGGCTTTCCTCAACCTGAGTGCTTCCCTATCTGTTGGACTGCACCTTCCGTCATCCCTGCCTGTTGGCCATGTTGCCTAAAAATGCAGCTGACAGAAACTGTACGCCAAACAGCTGGAGTGACTGAAACTGGAGGAGTATTTCCTGAACTGATTTGAGATGTGGATGTTTAAACGGATCCTGCCTTCTCTGTTTAAGTCATTACAGAGGCTCAGCTTTACATTTCGCCTTCAGAAGCATGGTTGCTGCAAGCACGAAACACGGCCTCTTCTGTTGCTGCACCCAGATTTTGAACTTCTTACCCCAGAAGACCTCATTTGCCACCTCTGTTGGCCTTCACAGCAGCATTTACCAATGAAATGTTAATTTGTTTCACTATGTTTTGTGGTTAGATTAATATTGCTCTAGCTTGATATATTAGTTTCTTTATTTATCTTCTGATGATTTTACTGTGATTTTTAATTTGAGTTTTGATGTTTTAATTTGGCTGTTCTAAGCTGATCTTTTAATATTTCATTTCTGTAGTGCTTGTTGCTGAAGCTCTCTGGGCAGTTTACAAAAGAGTAGAAAAACAGTAAAATACAATAGATTAAAACATTAAGAAAAAATAATCTTTAGAACCTTGCCCAGGAAAGGAATATTTGCTACTGGCCTGTAGTTAACCCAAACTGTCTGGGTTAAAGGAGGGTTTCTCAGGAAGTGGCCTTATCACTGCCTCTTTAAGGCAGCATGGGACCAGTCAAGAGGCATTGATGACCTCCATGGTTCAGCCAATTGTCCCTTCCTTGCTGGCTTTTATAGGCTAGACATGTGCATGGTGGGCATGTCGTGAGCGGAGCTGGCTGGAGCCGGGGGTCAGACTAGATGGCCTGGGAGGCCCCTTTTGACTCGCTCTGTTTCTAAGCTAGGAGGGGCAGGGATCTAATACAGAGGTGGTTGCATGAACCTGTCCACATCCTTGAACTGCACCGACTGAAACTCATCCAATAAAATGGGACCAGGCTGTGCTCTGGATAGAGTTAGGGTTGCTGTAACCATGGAGTCTGAGTTCCAGCGAATGCATCAGATTTTTTTTTTGCTGGATGTGCCTGCAAGCAGGTTACAGCAGGCTAAAAATGGTTCCAAGGTGTCCCTGGGGCCAGAGAGCAATAAGCCTCAGACAACCTTGAAAAGCTGTGCTGGGCGGCATAGAAAGGATTGAAAGAGGGCTGAAAGGTGGGGTATAAATCTCTAAGCAAGCTATTTTTGCTTTATGATGGGGGAATAATATTATGTGCCCAAGATAAGACCAGGTACATGTATAAAACAGATGTATCCTGCCTACTCACTGCTTTTCCATATCCTTTTCAAAGGAGACTGGGGTGGGGAAGACAGTGAACGGTTTACGGAAACATGAACAAGTTGGGGAGTTTGCCAGGAGCTTGGTGGCGAGGTGGAAGAAGCTGGTGCCTGTTCCGCAAGAAGCAGAGCGGTAAGCTGGCTTTGTCACGTGGTCTCTTTTCCTGATGTCTCTTCTTGCCGAATGCCGTCTTGGAGGCCTGAACTTTGGCTGCTGAAGGCACACGGTGCCCAAGAAGTACGCCGAGGATGCCTGTGTCCTCTACTCTGGTTGAGTGAGAATGAAGAGACTTGCAAAGTATGAATCCTGGGATTGTCTGTTGTATTTGGGAAGGAACCATCACGCGGTGCTAGAGCACTGGCTTTGAGTGCCGAAGGGCGTGGGTTCAGTCCCTGACTTCTCTAGGAATGACCCTGGCAGACTACTGCCAGTCAGTATAGATCGGTCTTTTCCAACCTGGTGCCTTGCCAATGTGTTGGGCTACAGTTCCCATAACTGGCTGGGGAGCCGTGAACATTGTAGCACAGGTGCCAGGTTGGAGAAGGCCAGTGTAGGCTGGACGGGCATTGTAGAAGGCAGCCTTTTGCTTCCATGGGGTAGAACATTCTGGCTGACTTCTGTTTCGCCTTGTTGTGCTCTACTCTACAGAAGCATTGCAAGTATTGGCCACCCCACTGATGTTTCCTGAGGATGCTGCAGACTCCACTCTTTCCTCAGTGCACTATAACTGGGGATATGTGACAGTCTTGCAGTCAAAGTAGGCCTTGTTTGCCTCGAGACTTGCAGGGACAAGAGGAGCTCTTACCCCAGGGCTGGGCAGCCCACTCCTGCTTTAGCCAAAAGGCCGGCGATGCCTGTTTCGAGCGAGATGGCTCTTCCTGTGGAGGAGTGCTGTGCCACCTTCCTGCTAGGACTTGATGACCGGGACAGGCTTCCCAGTGGGAGGAAGGATGAGCTCAGAGAGTGAATGACTCAGGACGGCACAGGCTGCATCTCCACATAAGAAGGATCTGATTCTGCTCCGTCTGGAGGGACTGCGGCATCAACCACCTCTAGTGGGTGCTTGGCTGGGAGGGAAGCGAGGCTATAGCATTGGCCCCCACGGAGGGACAGCCAGTGGACTCCTCTGAGGCCAGGTGATCTGCTGAGTCCCTGCGCACCATGTCGACAGGTCAGGGCAGAATTTCCCACCTTCAGGTGAGGCTGGCCAGAAAGAAACGATGCCAGCACTCGCATGGCTGGCTTAGCAGCAGGCAGAGCCTCCTGCTTGATGACCCTTCAAGGCTCCAAGAAGGTGTTTGATTATTTTGTTTTGATTGCGGCACCCTGGCCATTCACTCCCAGTGCACAGTCTGGGAATTGTGGGCCAGCCCTAAGCCAAGAAAAGGCCCTGAGAACTGCCAGCGGGAAAGCCAGATAGATCGATGTCCCCACTCTGGCGCTCCAGGCGGCGGCTCACGCAGTGTGTGCTGCTGCGCGACCCCAACTGGAGGAGGCTGCCCCATCAGCACCACACGTGCGTCCTGCTTGATGCGAAGTGATCGTGAAATCTGGGAGCCGAGTTTTGCATTTGTGAATGAAGTCCACGGAGTCCTAACTCTGTGAATGAAGAAATTGCAGGTGCATATGCCATGAGCTCCCAGGCATGTAGGTTGGAGTTTTCATTCTGCAAAGTTTCAGGCAGTGTGTTTTCCACGTGGAACTTTGGGGAAAGGCTAAAAGTTTCTGTGTGGGAGAGTGATCGAGGAAGTGTAACAGCTTTTAGTGACAGAAATCTCCCTCCTGCCCCCAGATGCTGGGATATTTCACAACCACATGAAAATATGCCAGCTGTCTCTTTAGTCATAAGGACTAGAAACCTGGTCTTTAAAATGGGGAGAAGCAGAAGAATCAGTAGTCTTGATTTTGTTCTGTTTCTCTCTTCACGAAAGAGTTAGGATTAGCCAGTCTTGGAGGAAGTTTCTTTAGTGTTTCTCTGTTGGGACTCTGATCTGGTACTGTCCTCTTCTTTTCTAAAAAGGCATAACCTTGAACCTGAAGAGCGTAGTTATGACCGAAACATCTCTAGAAAGCGGCCACGAGAGTCGTCCCCCAAAGAGGATGAAGAGGTTGAGCAAGGCTACTCAAAAGTGTACCAGCCTTCCTGCAGCCAGCCATACGAGCCAGAGTATGAAGCAAAAAAGGCCAAGAGATATTTGGAGCCCGAGAAAAGCCATCAAACTGTGACTTACGGTGTTTCGGAGGGTAGGGCATGGGGCAGAGAGTCCCCAGTGCTTTCCTCTGACCAGGAATATTCTGACTATGGACATGCTGTCTCACCTGAGCCTAGCGAGAGCCCTCAGGAACTGTACCTGGGCCACTGCAGAGCTGAGGAACAGGAGAGGGAGCAGAAATCCCTGAACCGGAAGGCCAGTAAAGGCCATGGCTTGCAGGACCGGCCGGAGGGTGGTCACAGTAGGAACCTCAGTGACCCCCAAGACAAAACCAGCTCAAGTCGGAGCAGAGAGCACAAGTCTTCTCACAAGGAGAAGCAACGGACAGATCCCAAGGGGGAGGAGCGGGTTCCGGATTTGACAGAGAGACCACATAAGGGCTCTTCTAAGGAGCCCCTCAGAGAAGCTGCTTTGACAGGCGGCGGCACAGAAAGGCTGAAGGCCTGGAACAGCAGCAAGCGGGAAAAGAAACGGGAAGGCGGGGGCAGCGGTGTCAAGAAGGAGAGGCCTCACTTTGACCCAGAGGAGGCGCCTGATGGCTTTGTGAAGAAGCAAAAGCTGCAGGATCCGGAGCGACTCAAGCCAGAGAAGGTGAAGCTCAGCTCGGAGGTTTTGCTCGGAGAACGGGAGAAACGGAAGCCAGAAGTGGATTCCTTTGGTAAGAGTAAGGAGAAGAAGGCTTCTGGCAGTGAAAGAACCCCGGAGGGCAAACCCAAAGCGTCAGAGTTAGGCAAAAGAGCAGCACCCTTTTCTCCTCCGAAACTTGGGGAGGCAGAGCTGGAGGATGAGTACGAGCAGCCAGCAATGTCCTTTGAGTCGTACCTGAGCTATGACCAGCCTCAAAAGAAAAGGAAGAAAATGGCAGCCAAGCCTGCAGCTTCTGTCCCGGAAAAAGACAAAGGGCACAGCAAGCAGAACGGCTCCAAGTCAAGCGCCAAAGGCTGTGACTCCAGCCGGAAGGCCCACAAGTCAGCAAGTGAGCGGAAGCAGCCGGGGTCCTCCAAACCAAAAAAGGTGAGCCTAGCTTCAGTGTGATGAACAATCTGCATGGAGGGGTCGCGGCTGGGAGGGTCTCTTTTCCAGGAGGCAAGGAGAGGGGCCGATCTGGAGCTCTCCCTGAGAGCAGCAGAGTTCCCCTTTGTGTGCAAGCCAGGCTGAAGGGAACGGTGGTGGTTCACTGCACGGCTTCCCCCAATTTCCCTGGGAGCGTGTGCAGGACAGGCTTCCATGAGCTGTGCTGCTTCTGAATGAGGGGAAGGGATTCTCTTTGGACTGGTCAGATCAGGCACCGAAACGTCTCAGGGCCGTCTGCTATCTGCTCCCGTGTTTGTGAAATGGACGCCTTCATCTTTGGGCAAGCAGAAATCCCATAAGCTGTACTTTTGGTTGCTGCTTCATTGGAATGTTTTGTCCAATGCTTGCTTTCAGGTTATTAGCATGAGAGGCCAAACGATCCTAAAGATAAGCCAATCCCCTGTTAAACTTTGGAGGGTAAATGTTGGAAAAGAAGTGACTACAGAGAGGAGGTCAAATGAGTCGGGCTCATCAGACCTCCACGCACCAAGTGTTCCCTGCAAATGTCACGCTTTCTTCTTCCGCTCTCCAGGCCCGAACACGGAGCAGATATGACTTTAACCCAAGTCTCATGAATTCTGCATCTCTAGAATAGAAAATGATGCAAGAGACTATCTCCCTGCTTAGCACGACCCTCTTCAAGCTGGCCTTGCTTGATGAGAAGGATGGGAAATGCAGCCAATTGCATCCGGAAGATGCCAGGTTGAGAGTGCAGTTTGGCACCTAATCTCTGTCCAGCACATGGAGTTTATAACACACTAGGAGTCAGAACAGCAGCAAGTTGTGTCCATGGGAACATGCTCCAGAAATGAGGGAGAACTGGTAGTCCTGGGATGCACCTGTGAGTGTGTTCAAAGTGTTTTACTAAGGACAGGTTGGCTGGGGTGTTCAGGGCAGAGGAAAGGTATTTCACTCCCTTGCACACTTCCTGTGTTTCTTGGTTCCATCAGGCTGTTAGGCCCCCTGGGATGCCACCCACTTGCTGTTACTGCTGCTGGTGCCTGGAACTCCTTCCCAGGCTTCTGCGTGGTCCAACTTCTTGCTCTTCCCCCAGGGCCCCTGCACAACTCTGCATCAAAATAGCACTGAAGCCTAACTTTGTTGCCTAACTTTGCTAACAGCCGGTATCTAGAGCAGCCTTTCCCAAGGGTCCCCAATATTATTAGCTCCCCCATTTTCACCATCCCTGACCTGCATGGCCTGTAGCTGGGGCTGATGAAAGTGGGAGTTCAACAACATCTGGGAACTCAATGTTGGAGAAAGCTGTGTAGGTTCTTGTGGGGGTGGGAATCCCTGGATGGGAGCCGGAGGCTAGAACAAGCCAACCCACCAAGCTCTGCAGTAATTTTTTGTGTTTGAATGTGCAGAGCTCTGAGGAGCAAACATGCTACCTGGAGCATCCCATCAAGGGGTAGATCTATCAGGGAAATGCACAGGTAGGCAATTTTTGTGAAATTATGGACAAAACATCCAAAGAGAAGCATTCCACTTGAATCCCTGGAATCTTCAGTTAAAAGGATCAGGGGACAGGTGGTTTGGCTGCCCTCTGCCTGAGTGCCCCGATGGACTGCCCCCAGCCACATTATCAGAGCTGGACTTCATTAACCCATAACTGGACCTGGTTATAGGGTAGCTTCAGATGCTCTTCGTTCCCTGGTTAGCCTGTTCTGCTCTTTTTTCTCTCTCTGATTGCTCTTTTCTCTCTTTCCCTCCTCTGCTACCTTCCTTGACAGTCAAAGTTAAGTTTGTGAACTCCTTGGAGCAGAGACCTTTCAGCTCATGTTGCTTGGCAAAGGAACATCCACCTGACAAGCAAGCAGAAGCCATTTCCCAGCCCATGTAGTGGTACAAGCTGTTGCCCAGGCCACAGGCTAGAACTGCGGCTGGACTTCCTAGACATGCCAGTGGGAGTCCATTAACAATGGCCTGATTTTGCTGCAGCTGCAACAGTTCTGGAGGACACGATTTCATTTAGTTAGCTGAAGCAGTAGGGCAGTATGATTTATTCTTAAAAATTATCAGCAGTTTGATGTGTGACTGTCTTGGGCAAGGGATCTGATGGGATCCAGATTAACACTGGAGCCACTGCTCTGTTACAAGTGGGCTTCCTCATCTCCATTTCCTGGCAGCTCCTCTGGCCACCTGCAAAGGCTGCCAGAGAATCAGGAGACCTTGCCAAATGGGGGTGAGCTGTGGTGTGGGGTCCCCTCTTCACAAGCAGAGCCCTTCCTCTTGAGAAGACAGCTCTTGAATCCAACCCCAAGCTGGGAAATAGCCACTTCCTTGCACACTCATGGCAAGTGAGAGTTTCCTGTATGTGAGCAGACAAGGGAGGCATTTCAAATTGGAAAAGTTGCTTTTCCTCCCTTTCAGGCCATTCATGGGCCACAAATGGCTACGCAAGGTGAGTATATGAAGGAAAGCCATAAATATTCATGTGGGCAACTTTTTGTGCACTTGTGTTTTTAAGTAAGGCAGCTTTCCAAACAGTATTTTTCTCCCTTCAGAGCTTCGTTGATGTGGTGCCAACACTCCCAGACATCCCCTTGCCCCCAATCCAGGCCAACTACCGCCCACTTCCTTCACTTGAGTCGATACTTCCCACACAGCCAAAGAGGAAAGGTAATTTCTGAGCTGAGCAACAGAGTTGGCTTCAGACAATCTTTTGCTGTTTCTTGGTGTTGGGGGAATGCTGGCAAAAGTAACTCTCCTGTGTGGAGCAAGTCCAGCGCAGGTTTAGAAGACTCTGCTTTATGAATTCACTTTGCTTTCATCTGTGGATGCTTCCTTTTCACACAGTTAGCCTCTTTGGGGCAGCTTAGAACAAATGAAAAGCGGTGATAAACCTCTCAGCAGTCCAGTTCTAAAAGGGAAGGGGGCTGGAAGCACCCAAAAACAGCTTATCAGATGGGAGCCAAGATAGTCCTGTTCTGAAAAGCACCCCAACACAGTGTAACCCCCCCCCCCGCTGCCCCAACAGCCTCTTGGAATAGAAATCTGTTTGCTTGTTCCCCCAAAGCTGCTAATGAGTTTGCCCACAGATGTCCATATGTAGGTTCCACCGAGTTACTCTTGAAGAGTCTAGACTGTCCAAACATCTCTCAAAGATTATTTGGAGACACTCCTATGAGAGGAGGTGTGCTTGAGTACCTTCTGCTAAAGCTGTCCTGGCAGGGCTGCTGGACTGAGGAGCAACTGGCTTGATTTTCTGTCAGTTGGATTTGGTACATGTACATGGAGATCTTTCCTGCCACTGGTTGGCATATTCCAAAAAGCAAGCATGGATTCCCCCCCCACCCCCATGCAGTGTAATGCAGTTGGGTTCCTCTGTAGTTCAGTTCCATGACGGAAGCGTGCACACCAAAGTGAAGAAATTCTGCCTTTCCTATGTAGTGCCTGATAAGAGGAGTGCCACTTATGCTTAATTCTAAAGCCCACTTAATTGTTAGGGCCTTCCTCAATCTGGGGCCTTCCAGGACCACAACTGCCATCATCCCCTCACTAGGGAGGTATTGCAGTTGTACTCTGAACACATTTTGAAGGCACTGATTTGGGGAGTGCTGTGTTAGGATCATAGGCTCCGTTGGAATCATCACACAACACAATTCAATGCTGCATTGTTTTTGTTTTTTTATTACACGTAAGATGCAGTGCAGTGTATATTCATTTGTTAAACTTGTGCAAATTCAAATTTTAATCAGCTCTGTCAGCAAGAGTTTTCAAACAGAACTAGGCAAATTCCTGGCTTGTAGAGCATAATGCATGCTGAAGAGAACTTTCAGGTTCGCTCATTGAGTGCTGCCTTTCCTTCCAAGGATACATACATGATTGTCCTCTCCATTTAATCATCATGACAGCCCTGTGAAGTAGGATAGGTTGAGCATCAGTGGCTGCCCATAACTCCCCAGTGAACATTACAGCCAGGTAGGGACTTGAACCCAAGAGTTCCCAGGCCCAATCCTTCCACTCCACCACGCTGACTTTCCCTGGGCTCAGTGGCAGAGCACTGCCGAGAAGCTGATGCAGGATTGGTGAGCTTCCCAGAGCCATCTGGCGGGCCAGCAGTGGAGAGGGAATGCCAGTCTCGATGGATCTCTCCTCTGATCCAGCAAGGCTCCTTGAAGGGAGGGCTCAGTCCGGCTATCCATGGGCCTCTTCGCAGCATTCATGTGATCTCTGTGCTGGATCCAGAGAGTGGTAACCTCATTCGCTCGCTTTTCTCTCTCCCTTATCTCGCAGCACTGTCCTCCCCCACCGAGGAAGACGAGGCCGGCTTCACGGGCCGCAGGCTGAATTCCAAGATGCAGGTGTACTCCGGCTCAAAGTCAGCCTATCTTCCAAAGATGATGTCTCTGCATGAACAGTGCATCAGAGTCCTCAGCAATAGCATTGACTGTTAGTATTGCCAGAATGGAGTGGGAGTGGCCGGCCAGTCCATGCCATACTTCAGCTAATGTAGACGTGTGAAAGTGCAGTTTCTGGATCTGTTTCTCCCGTGTAACTATCCTAGAGGGACCCACATGCACACCCTCCCCCACCCGCAGCTATATGGATTTCTGATCCGAGAGCCGTCTTTGAGTGAGGTGGGCGACAGTCCACGTGAAGGACTGTGGTGGAGAAAGGCTGTAGGAAGGGGGAAGTCTCTCTGCCCCACCAGCACATCTCGTTTGCCGGAGTGTCTTGGCCAGTGGCAACTTGCAGGGCATGCACTGAAGCTCATTGTGTCATTCTAGCTCAGCCTTACCCAAGGTTGTGCCCTCGATCATTTTGGGGGCGGCAGTTCAAGCCATATGGAGGACACAAGGCTGGAACGGCTGCGACAGATCTTCTTATATCCAGGTGCTGCAAAATGCTGGCTTTCCTGTAGAAATAGCGAGAGAGGGTTGCCATGCCGTAGCCTCCGGCCAGCTGCTTTCATTGTCCATTTTCCTCACACCCGACCTTGTATGGTCTTTCCCAGCCTCGCTCAGAGGGTATTCACGGCCCACTTTGCTGGTAGACACTCCCAATGGGTCCACACTGCTATTATCATCACTACAGATGGTACAGCCACAGCCAATGAACACCTTGACTTGGTGACGGGTCAGGTCCATAGCCCTCTGAAGTCTGATACCACCAGAACTTCCGCTTTTTGCACTGTCCTGGCTGGGAGTGGAAATAGAGATGAAACTGATGCCTTTCTCACCTCACCTCACCCCATCCCACCCCTTCTTTGCTTGCAGCAATCTATGAAGTGGGGGGTGTCCCTTACTCTGTACTGGAACCGGTCTTGGAGCGATGTACCCCAGAGCAGCTGTACCGCATTGAGGAGTGCAATCATGTGAGTGTTCTGAGACGGGGGTGGGGGGGGTGGCGAGGGGGGTGTGCCAGAAGGGTGTTCACCGATTGCCATTCAGCATCTGCCACCAGTGGTTGGGGCTTGCTTCTGTGGCAACTAGTGCATGACATCATATGGCTCAGCTACCACGACATAAGCACCAATACTGGAAGTATGTGTATATTGTTTCTTAGCTGAAAAGGTACCCAGAGTGGCTTACATATCATCAACTAAGCAAGGCCGTCCTGCCTGCAGGCTTACAGCTTAAAAAGGCACAACATACTAGGAAAAAAGAATGGGGAGGGTAGAGGGAGAAAAGAGTATTTTTTTTTCAGTCGGGCTGGAAGAATGGCCCTGCTGCCCCTTGTCTCTCTATGTAGAACCTGCTGAAATGGCCGTTTTAATAGTTTTAACTCTCTTTGTATTTCCTCATTAACTCATAATAGAGAGTGATGCTACATAGGGAAGGGAGGCTGACAGTCACACAACATGGCTTCCGCAAAAACAGGTCCTGCCAGACAAACCTTGTGGAATTCTATGACAAGGTTTCAAGGTGACTATATGAAGGGTGTGCAGTGGATGTGGTATACCTGGATTTCAGCAAGGCCTTTGACAAAGTGCCCCATGATATCCTGGGGGAGAAACTGAGGAGTTTTGGGATACACCAAAGCACTGTCCGGTGGATTAGGGCATGGTTGACTGACCGAAAGCAGAAGGTAACCATTAGCGGGGAATCATCGGGATGGTGGCCAGTGACAAGCGGGGTCCCCCAGGCTCTGTCCTGGGGCTGATCCTGTTTAATCTTTTCATTAACGACATGGAAGAAGGGGTGAACAGTCTGCTGATCAAATTCGCAGACGATGCTAAAACTGGAGCAGTGGCCACAACTGAGCAGGCACTCCAGATCCAAAAAGATCTGGACAGACTATGGAAGTGGGCAGGAGACAACAGGATGGCGTTCAATGTGGATAAGTGCAAGGTCTTGCACTTGGGGCATAGGAATAGGTGTCATAAGTACAGGTTAGGGGACAAGTGGCTGGAGAGCAGTACTTGTGAAAGGGACCTCGGGGTGCTGGTTGACTGCAGGCTAAACATGAGTCAGCCGTGTGATGTGGTGGTCAAGAGGGCGAACACCACCCTTGGTTGCATAGCCAGAAGTGTGGCTTCTAGATCAAGAGAGGTATTACTACCACTCTACACGACTCTAGTGCGCCCACAGCTGGAGTATTTTGCTCAGTTTTGGGCCCCTCATTACAGAAAGGATATAGCCAGGTTGGAGTCAGTGCAGTGTAGGGCCACAAGGTTGGTGGCCGGTTTGCAGGGGATGGGGTATGAGGCGAGACTGAGGGAACTGGGTCTCTTCAGCCTGGAGAAGAGGAGACTCAGAGGGGATCTGTTGGCGACATACAGGTGTGTGAGGGGATGTCACACGGAGATGGGTAGAGACCTGTTCTCCCCTGCAGAGGAAGGCAGGACGCGCTCCAACGGAGCAAAGCTCAGGGAGCCAAGGTTCCATTTGGATGCCAGGAAGCACTTCCTGACAGTCGGGACCCTGAGGGTGTGGAATGGGCTTCCATGAGAGGTCGTTGAGGCCCCATCGGTGCAGGTGTTCAAGGATAGGCTGGATGTCCACATGGTGGGCATGTCATGAGCAGAGCCGGCTGGTGCCGGAGGTCAGACTGGATGGCCCGGGAGGCCCCTTCTGACTCGCTCTGTTTTCTATGTTTCTATGTAACTCAGCAGACTATTTTAAATATCCTGTTACTGATCATTCTGCTGAGAATCCCCAAGAGGTCCCTTCCCCAACCCGGTGCCCCTGAAATCTGTTGGACTACAACTCCCATCACTGCCAGCCCTCATGGCTGCTGACTGGGGATGATAGTAGTTGTTGCCCAACTCATCTGGAGAACACTTGACTGGAGAAGGCTGCCAAAGAGTACGTAAAGATGTTCGCCTTATTCTCTCCACGTCCTGTAAGGAGGGGTCTCTTAGAGCATAGTTAGAATAGTGGGTTTCACAGGCTGTTCTTCCTAGTGGTATTTGGCGGAGGCAGTTAGATCCCAGTAAGGGTAGTGCATGTTGGTCAACAGCTGTTGCTGTTCTCAATGAGTCTCTTGGGTATACATAGAGATAAAAAGAGGCAGAAGTAACATATGTCTCAGGAGAGGGGAAAACTGCGTACTAGACAAGCCCTTAATTTTTTGTGTTCCAAGGGGGACGACATGCACCCTCCCTAGGCACTGGGAGGCAGGTGCACAAATGAGTGCTTTCTTGAGGTGAGTACAGAAGGCTCTGCTTACACAGAGCATTGCATATAAGCAACAAGGTGGCCTTCGGACAAAGCCAAGTATGTGCAACGTCTTTTCCAAAGCCATCCTTTGGGGAAAGGTTGCTCCTTCTGTTGGTTTGACAGCATTAAAGGGGGAGCATTTTCTGTTCTGCACCCTCCTCTCAAAAACCCTCCATATTCTGTGAGCAGAGCAATAATGCTTACCATTGCGTAGGGTTTTAAGGTGTTCAAAGTGCTTCAAATGCTTTACCTAGTTGTGTTCTTTACAGTAATAATAACAACAACCCCGCAAGGTGGGTTGGTATTATTACCCCCCCCATGTTGCAGATAAGAGTGTAGAGGCTGAGTGGGAATGGCTTGCCAGAAGCCAGGAGTTAGATTCAAATTAGGGAACTGCTAATTCTTAGCTCAGTCTCTTAAGCCACTGTGCTTTTGCCTACTGTGTCCCCAGTTTTCACAGAATTTGGAATATTTTTGGCCAGCTCTATTTGGCACTCTCTTTCCCAGAATTTTGGCATAACTGTGGAAGACAAAAGAAGGCTGTCACCATGCCCTTCTTCTGTACTTGTAGAGAAGAAACAAAAGTAGAACTCTTTAAACTTCGCTCAGTTTTGTAAAGTCTGCCACAGAGATCTCTTTCTTTTAGGGTCTGTGAATGTGTGGAATAGAAATAATTCTGAGAACTGTTAAGAAGTGCACTGCTTCCTGGTGGGCCCAAATTCTAGGCTCAGTCTTTCTTTGCTCTCGGCCTCTAGGTTTTAATTGAGGACACAGATCAGTTGTGGCACAATCACTGCATCCGGGATTTCAAGAAGGAGAAGCCAGAGGAGTTTGAGTCATGGAGGGAGATGTACTTGCGGCTGCATGATGCCCGGGAGCAGCGGCTGCTCATGCTGACGGAGAATATCAGATCGGCTCATGCGAATAAACCCAAAGGTAGCCTGGTGGGTTGGGCAGTCAGGAGCAGCAGAACAAGGGGTCACATGCGGGCAGTTGGTTTCTGACTTCTGGTTGGTTTCTGAAAGGCAGTGGGGTTGCGACTTCAGCATGCTTTTCTTCAGCCCTTCAGCTGCAGCTTGACAAGCGGAACTGTAGTATTTACCCTGGAAATAATGTGGAGAAAGGCACTTCAGCCATTTAAGTGTGCATGTCAGGCTTCTGTTCTGAGGCGCAAGAGCAGAACAAAAGATTGGCAAACCTTATGGGAGTCTTACGGTCATATAGAGCCATGACTCTGAAGAAGCTGGATGTTAACACCAGTGACATGCAGGAACAAACCAAACTCCATGCTATAGCCCAGTGGACAGTTGTCAGCTGGCTAGAGGAAAGTGGTCTGGCCTGTCTGTGTCTTCAGAGCAAGCAGCTTTCCCTGGCTCAGAACAAAGCTGCATTTCCAGTGTCTGTAGATCTAGTTGCTGCTGAGTGAACAGCTTACAACACCTGTTGAAAAGGTAGCAACCCTGCCTAGCTCTGTAATGGGTGCAAACCGTACGGGCCGCAGGCTGTATTCCTCTGCTGTGCTGGGCAGGACTGCCAGCCTCATCGGGGGTAAGGCTTGCAGTTCCTTTGAGAGTTTGGGGGAAGGACTAGGAGCCAAGGGTGCAGTGATGGGGAAAAACATGCTTCTAAAGCATTCCTCTCCTTCATGGATCACTGCCTTGTCGTGGCGAAGGGGCTTGCGTAGCTCAATGAAGCGATGAGCTATGCCGTGCGGGGCCACCCAAGGCGGACAGGTCATGGCAGAGAGCTCTGACAAAACGTGATCCACTGGAGAAGGAAATGGCAACCCACTCCAGTATCTGTGCCATGAAAACCCCATGGACAGTACCAAAAGGCCGGAAGATGAGCCCCTCAGGTTGGAAGGTGTCCGATATACTACTGGGGAAGAGCAGAGGGCTGGTAGGAAGGACTTCCCGGAGAAGAGCCTAATGCTGGGAACAATAGAAGGAAGGGATGGCAGAGAATGAGGTGGCTAGATGGAGTCACTGAAGCAGTCGGCGTGAGCTTAAGTGGACTCCAGGGGATGGTGGAGGACAGGAAGGCCTGGAGGATGGTTGTTCATGGGGTCGCGATGGGTTGGACGCGACTTCGCGATTAACAACAACAAAAGCATTCCTGGGCTAGGTGCTTTTAAGTGACAGTAGCCAAGTCTTACATGTAAGATGGTTCCCATCCTCTGAGGCTGCAGACCTGATGCAGCCCAAAACTCTTGAGAGCCACTGCCAGTCAGTGTGAGCAGTACTGGGCTAGATGGGCCAATGGCCTGATTCAGGACAATGCAGCGTCCAGTGTTCCTGTGCTGTGTACTCAAGGTGCTCTTGGCACTGAATTGGCCTCTGTGGGGTTCTTGTGATGCTGGTTCCAGAGGGGTCGTTTCCTGTGGAAACAAGTAGGTGAGAGGAGGGAGAAAAGGCTGCCTTCCTCAGAGAAGATGGAGCCTACCTGTCTTCCCCCACACGTGCTTTGGAATCTGTCTGGGCTTCCCCGCAAGCTCTCTTGGGCTAACTCAAGTTTCTTCCTTCATTCACCATTTAGGCAGAGTAGCTAAGATGGCCTTTGTCAATTCAGCAGCTAAGCCACCTCGGGATGTGCGAAGAAGGCAAGAGAAATTTGGAACTGGAGGAGCTGGAGTCCCAGAAAAGATCAAGTGAGGCTTAAATCGCATCTTCACTCTTTGGGGTGGGGAGGGCCTGGGAGCAAATCAGTGGGGAAGAGAATAACACAGATGGTGCTTTTCCACCCCCAAATTATCTGAACAAGTTTTCTTGATGATGAAGTGTATTTCCACACAGTAGCTCCTCAGGTGGGAAAGAAGCTGCATGGATCAATCTGCTGCTTGCATCCATTGTAAAGGCTCACAGCCTGGATTAGACCCGTAGACCAGAAACTGCCCTCTTCTGCTCTACTGGATTAGGCTCCAAAGTTGGGGCATCTGCCTGGACCCGGTATCACAAACTGCTGCAATGTTTTCTATGTGGGGCTGTCTTTGAAGAGAGTCCTGGAACTTCTGGAACCAGCAGATATCATCATAGTATGCCAGTACTTTGCTAACTGCAAATGGGTTCCAGTCAATTTGGGTTGGTGTTAACCTAAGCAGCTTGGGCATGGAGCTTCTCTTCCCACATTGACATACCTGTCACTCAGGTTCTTAATCTGAGCCCTGTCACTGGTTGTCCCCATCAAATGAAGCCAGATGGGCGGTTATGAGAGAAGCAGCCTTTTCAAAGATGCTCCCCAAGGAGGCTTACCTAGTGCCCTTGTTGTGGTCCTTTCGGCCCCAGCTAAAGGCCTTTTTGTCGACTCAGATGTTTCATTTTAGTACTTGTGAATCTTCATTATCATCCAGCATATTGGGAAGGGATTAAGTTGGGGAAGTCTGTTTTAAGTGTTTGACACTGTGTATTCTTTGCTATAGTTTCTAGACTAGTTTTTAGTCTTTACTGGTATATTTGGTCTTTTTATCTTGTGCACTGGGTATCCCACATAGCTCCTTTGTATGCTCCCCCACCACCTCCAAAATTTGTTTGTCTCCAAGAATGTTACTTGGTTTCAATGGAGTCCCAAAATGTTCAAAATTAGTTTGTTTGCAAGCTAAATTGCTCACTTTTGGTTCTCAGCAGCCGCTCTGGATGCCATCTTCTTTCACCTATATTTCCTACCCCTGTCTCTGGAACTCGTGGGGAAGAGGTCCAGGGAGAAAATGGCTTCTGGACTTCCCAAAGCTGACCACAGCTGTCGGTCACCAGCCAGGGAATAATGGATATTCAGTGTTTTAGTAAATAAATAACGTTCCTTGATTCCTCCCCTTTTATTCTTCCCTCCCTCCTTCCCTCATGGCAAGTACAGGTAAATTTCAAAGTTTTATCAAGCAACTTGAAAGCCTTTACAGAGTTACATTGATCTAGTGATGCTGTAACACTCTCTGTTCCGTGTCCTGCTATGTACCAAGCATTGCTAAATAAGTGTGGATGTGGTTCTTCCTCTCAAAAGCCAGCTTTCTTTTTTAAAAAAAGATCATTAACAGTATTTTATAGAGCCACCGATCAAAAAGCTCTTTGTTTATTCTGGTCTGAAGAATTTTTTGGGCCAAACTTACTGCTGTTACATTTATAAATTGTGCTGCAGAGATTTATCATGCTTGTGGTTTTCACTGAGTGGCTGCTTGGATAGTATATAGGCAACCATTTGTATTATGCTGTCTGTTGCTTTGGCCAGTACCTAAAACCATAATGCTGAACTAGTCTTTTTTTAAAAACATGTTCCCTTTTTATACTTAGCACCACTGAAACAAGCATTTGGTCCTGCAAAGAATACAAGGGACAAACAGACCAAAATACCAGCTGACTAAGTGTTAGCCACTGAGCTTCAGATCATTCTGGTCAGCTCTCCATCTACTTCACCAGTCTTTCCTAACCTACAAGTGCTTTCCAGATGTGTTGGAATGCAACACCCATCATACCTGGAGGACACTGGCCTGAAGAAGTTTGCATTAAACATTCCCTGGGTACACACAGAGTGATTTGTAGCCAGGCATATTGCACATGCTCTGTTTTTCTCTTTCTCCTCCTTCAATGTGCTGCTCTCCTCCCCTGCTTAGGATAAAACCAGTGTTCTTCACGCCAGCTAAAAGCAGCACCATACACACAGAAGAAGATCAGTCCTACGATGGGCCAAGTACCAGCAGTGGCCACTCGGGTCCATCCCTGGGCAGCAGCTCCTTAGCTAGTTATGACCCCAGGAAGCCTCCTGTGAAGAGTAAGTGAAGCAGAGGCATGAAGCCCACTTCAGTTTATTTCTGTTCATCTCTCTCCTTTCTTCCGGCAAGGAACCTAAGACAGTTTACATAATCCTGCTCTCCTCCACCTCACAACAACCCTGTGAAGTCGTTTACACTGAGAATCTGTGACTGGACCAAAGTCACCCAAGCAAGCTTCATGGCTTAGTGGGAACTGGAGTCCAGATCCACTGAGCCTTCGTCCAGCACTTAAGCCATCATGCCAGCCTAGATGCATTCCCCAGTTGTAGCACCAGGCTTGAAGCTGCCTCTGCCAGCGGCAGGGTGGCATGGCAGTGGTCAGTGGTGAAGCAGTGCCAAGAGCACCTTGACAAAGAGTGGGGAGAAATACTGGTCATCCTAGCTGTGGCTTTTAAGTTGTAGGTGACCTTCCCTAAATGAGGGCCTGCTGCCGAAGGGGATGCCTGGAGAATGCACGCCGTTCGTACTTGTGAATGGGAGGCCTGGCTGGCTCAGCAACGTGCTGTGTGGATCCTGAACGTGTGCTCCTTTGTGTGTAGCTCTGCGATTGTCTCCTGCGGCCACCATGGGCTCCCTAGGGCAGCCTTTGCCAACTTGGTGCTGGGGGATGCCGGGAACTGCAGACCAACACGCCAGGAGCCTGCCGAGGTGACGAAGGCAGTCCTCAGGCAAATCTTTCGTACAGAGCAAGAGGACTCTCAAGGAGGAGGAGGCAGAGGTTTCTCCTGCCTGCTTGCTGGAGGAGGAGGCAAGCGAATTGCCCCCTTGGTCACTAATTAAAATTAAATTTGGGTTTGCCAGAGGCCTTAGGGGCTTATGAGGATCCAAGGCCATATGTGTCGGGTGAAAGAAGTCCTCAGCCCCAAAGATCAAATGCCTTCCTAGATCTCTCAGACTGCTAAGTAGAAGTAACTCACTGTGGGAGATTTTTCCCCTGTAATCATAGGGACCACAAGCTTTCTCCCTCAAATGTGATTTCAGATACTTTTCATTCCACAGCGCTACCATGTGTGGCTTGGTCTGTCATGGGTCATGAGCAAGTGTGTTCCTACACAGCATGGCTTGACTTTCCCACCTTTTCTCTTTCTGTTTCAGAAATTGCACCTATGATGGCAAAGACTATTAAAGCATTCAAAAACAGATTTTCACGGAGATAAAGGCACCCATGAGTGAGCAAGCAAGGGATTCATCTCTCCTCTCTGATGGAAGCAGTGCTTGGGGAAAATGGGGAGGGGTTGGGGCGGTGAAGAATCCTCTGAACTCAAGACCAACAGCACAGTATTGTTCAAATCTGCCCTCCAGTTTATTCCTCTGCTCATACAACCTGGTCTGTCTGCCCAGTGTTTTAAAAATGTGAAATATCAGCTCTTGCTGAGATGAGAAGGTGCATAGACTGCAGCTCTTTCTTCAGCCCCTTTCTCTCTCTCTCTTTCTCCCTCCAAATTCTGGAATGGAAAGAAATATACCTCCTTCCTTTACTTGCAGTGTTCTTTATTCAGGCCCCATGTAAGGATCCACATCCATTCTGTTGTCAAGTTTGGAGGAGTCTCTTTTTGCAGAAACGGTTACAAAGAAAGGCTTGGCTATGGTTCTGGCTGCTGCTTTTGTTTGGAATCCCAGGACCCAAGAACATGCCAGAGGCTTGCCGATCCTCCACTGGGTCATCTCTCAAGTGTCGCTTTCTCATCCGTCTGTTCTTAAATACCCCAGCTTTCAAACTTTCCTTTTGCTCTTAAAGTCTTTACGTCAGATAGACATCAATTTGGTCCTGCTACATATGGAAACTGGGACTTTCAGGTGGGAATCTAGTTTCTCCCTTCCATTCATTTGGCCAAAACAACCATTTACAAACACCTCCCACTTCTCAGTTTTAAATGCATAGGAAACAGCACAGAATTTGAAGGGTGGCTGAGGGACTCAGGTGGAGAGGGAAGTGTAACTGCACAAAGCTAAATTTTACATACTCATCTAAACTTTAAATTAATTTCTGTGACTGAAAGCTACATTTATTTTTTAAATGAATAGGAAAGTTTTGGGATCCTCCCCTAGTTAAAAACAAGAAGCTTTAGATTGAAGCCAACAATTCCACTTTCAGTTCTGGTTGGAAAGTATTTTCTGATTTTTAAAACAACAACTGGCACTTTAATTCCCCCATTCCCTACGAAGAACTTCAGGGGTGACATTAATCAGTTTTTCAGTCTCTTTTTGGTTCTCTTTACATCAAGCTTCTGGATGGAAGATGATGAAACCTAGAAGTCTTGGATGATGCTTGCTCTTGGAAGGAGCTCCGGTCCAAAGAGGCAGAATCCTTCTTGTTTTGCAACAGTGCCATCTGCAACTAAGCTGAGGTTTAAAGCAGCCTTTTGCCACAGGAAGAGGCCAAGGGACAGCATGCTGAAAGTCACCCCTGCCTCTTATCGACAGGGGAAGAGTTTGAGGAAACTACATTTCTTGGGCACTACTTGTTTTAGTGCTGGAAGGGATCCTCAGTGAAAAATGCTACTTATGCTGAAGGTGATGAAGGGGGCTGTGGGTATGTGTGGGGAAGGACAAAACTGGTTTTAGAAGGCTCAATGGTGTGTTTTTCTTGGTGCCAAGGCTGAATGACCTTTGACTAAGACAGCTTATGGAGGATTCTGACCTTTTCTGAAGATCGTGGAAGGGGAAAAGGAATTCTTCCAAGTGGCTTTTCAATGCCATCCTTATAAACTCTAGCCATTGGTAATAGTGACAGTAGCTGGAAAGGCCGTGCTACCTTTTAAAATAGAGAATTCCTCAGTACATGGGACTGGAGGGGACCTGGAAGTGTGTGCCATGCAGGGTGTGAAAACCCTCTTGATGTTCTTTGACTGATCTAATAAACAATGTCCCTTGAAGATCCAACTCTTTTTATATACATATAAGAATTTTAATTGATGGTGTTTGAAAATGGGGCTCTTGGTCTTTTTCACGTTGTTTGAAGTTGATGATAAAGTCCCCAGAAGCTTAATGACATCGTGTAGCATTTCAAGGTGTGTTGTGTATTGGATTTTTAAAAAATCATGCTTTTGCTGTATTTAATTTTACTGTATTGATTTAGTTAATTATATAGTACTCTTCTGCCAACTGTTGTACTTAGTGTATTTTCTCCTTTTATACTGGGGATAAGTTGACCAGGAGGGGTGGGGGGGTAAGGAAGGGTGGGTAGAGAAAAGGAAGACTTCTCAGCCACTGAAGCAAAAGCATTGCATGTATCCATGGCTAAGTGTGGATACTGGCCTGGCCCTGCAAAATGTCCCCTGTGTTTTCCACAAGTAGAAAGCAAATTTCAGCTAGTTTCCCTACTTTTCACAGCCAGGAAAACACCTGAGGAATCCCATACATGAAACAGCCGCCTGGCTGCGGCCTCTTCCAGCCAGCATTGTGACATCCTTGTGCTGTACTAGCCATGGGGTAGGTCAGAGAGAGGCTCTGTAGCACTGTCTTTTTCCGGTACCATGATACCACCGTCGGGCTAAAGCAGCTGTTAGGTGGAAGCAGCGTAACCACAAGCTTGCGTGCCTGAGGAGCAGGCATCTAGATGGGTAGGCTGCTCTTGCCATATTGGTTGAGAGCAATGCCTGGGCATTGCCCACTGCTTTGTTGGTACTGCTGTCAGCTATATTCTACCACTGAATTGGGTGGTTTTCGCTGAGAATTCCCCCATCTGTCAGTATTTTGTATTAGTCTGGTGGTTTCTTCCAGTGAAAGCTACAGTACCAATACTGTAACTTCTAACTTCATGATTCTGGAATACAAGTTCCCAATGGAAAAAGGAGTTATAATGGGGAAAAGGATGTTACTCATCCATCTCTCATTTGGAGGGAGAACTTTCTTTTTCTTTCTTTCTTTCTTATTAAGCCGGATGTTAAATCAATTGGCTTGAAGGCATCTCTCAGCTCTTTTTTAAACAGATGGGCAGAAAACAGAATCACCTGTAAAGTACTTTTGCTTATGATTCTTGTTTGGGCTCCCCATACATTTTAAACTGGGCACAGTTTTCAATACTACACTACATGCAAACAAACCAAACGGAGGAGCCCTCCCTAGCCTTTTTTTTTGTGTGTGCGTGTGCATACCACAAGTAATGCTGAATTGTGTCTGTCTTTTGGTCCCCCTAAAATGTAAATAACAATTTTCTATTTTACTTTCTTTTGTGGTAACTATATGAGATGAATATTTTAACTAGATAAGTTATATATGAAAGGAAGAAAATTGTGTCTCAATAAAAGCCAAACACTGGACTTGGCTTGTGTGTATTCTTTGTGTGTCTTTTGTTTAACTCTTGGTTTCCAAAATTACTAGTTATTTGGAAGGTACATTTATATATTCTGCTTTCTTTTAAGGCAGAAATTCCCAGACTGTCCAGTAAGCTGTGTTAATGTATCGTGAAAAATTGGGTGATGAAACTAAATAACCATGTGTGAGGAATCTGGTAAAAGGGGTGAAAAGCTAATGCATTTTCTCAGCTTGTCCTTGCAGATTTTGTTCTGCCAACTCTGCACTGACAACAAATCAAACTGATGTGCGCTAGTGGTGAACTTACCTTTTTAAAATGGGTTGGGATTTGCATATTTTAAAAATTGGGAAATTTACAGAGCATTTGGGCCTCTACTCTGAAATTTGCACAAATTTAGGCAATGTGCAGAATGTACTAGAAATTAGTTCTTGTCTCCAACGTTTTGCAAATATTTTGAGCAATTTTGTAGAAGATGAAAACAAAACCCTAATCTGACTATCTTTTGGTTATTTAAATGGCTGTTAAGCTCAAATGAAATGAGGTTTTGGGTGTTGCCCATCCCTCAGACCAGGAGAAATACACAAAGGAAGTCAAGGGTTTTGTGAGTCAATACACATTCACAAAGGGAGGTTTCTTGTTACAGGTCTCTGCTCTGGCCTAGCTTCCTCCGGGTCAATTTTGCTTGGGCAAATGCAATTCTGCCATGCCTCTTCCTTGAGCTTGACTTAGTGATCCCACCATGGTGCAGTAGAATTATGGGAGAGAAGGCTGCCTGTTGTGTATCTGTTAGCAAGCCTATTGAAACTTAAAGGCACCTCTTTTGGCGTTGCAAGCTGCAGGTGCTTCATTTCACCTCAACACCATGGAGTGGGGACTGAATTGTAAAGTGTTGCTCTGTCAGGTTTCTGATCCAGATCCATCACCCACCTTCTGCAATTGGCTGCTTTCCCATGGTGACAAAGAGAAACCTCCACAGCCAGAATGGAAGAGAGGAGGGGGTGGGCCAAGGAGAAAAGCTCTGCAGGCTGGATGGGAATCCCAATAGCTTCAAGTTTGGGGATCCCCATTCTGGCTCTACACGATGGCACAGAATCAGGTCTAGTGCAACCCACTGGCTATTCTAAGCCATACAGCACATGGCTGAGAGCCAGTGTGGTGTTGTGGTTAAGAGCATGGGACTGGGACTCAGAAGATCTGGGTTCTAGTCCCCGCTCAGCCATGGAGCCAACTGGGTGACTTTGGGCCAGTCACAGACTCTCAGCCCAACCTACCTCACAGGGTGGTTGTTGTGGGGATAAGATGGAGGAGGAAAATGATGTAAGCTGCCTTGAGCCCTTTGTAGGAAAAAGGCAGGATATAAATCAAAAAATAAAAAAAATCTGGGAGAGCGTCCTCTGAGATTTTGCATGTTCCTGCACAGGTATATGTCTGGTTTAGAGTTAGGCCAAAGCTTATGGGGTGCACATACCCAATTCCATATTGTTTTCTAAGTATTCAGGCTCTAATTGGCATTGGCGTGCCATGCTTAAGAGCGCCTGTGCTGAAGAAAAAGCGTTGGGCCCAATTCTAAGCCATTACACAGAGGCACTCTGCTGGAGGTGTGGATCTATCATTTAGTGTGGCCCATGAATACGGTTCACAGCTTCAATTCCTCATTTGTCTTTGGTGAGCATTATTGTTTATCCTAAAGAGAGTCCCCCATTTATGGAACTATGAGATAGGATCGTGGTTCAATGCTTATTCTGAGCAGTAGAGGCATATAGACATTAGATCCTTGGTTCAGTTGACTGAGCTCTGTTTCAAACTTTGGCAAAAATTAGGAAACCAGAAACTAATAACCAATTTCACCTTTGTAAAGGTGATTCTAACACATCTGGATCTTTCTAGTTAGCAAATCTTTAATAAGCAATATTTATTGTTCTTTCTAATGATGGAGACAAGATGGGAAGGATGCAAAAAGGCTATTCCCCCCCCCCCACTTTTTTTTTGCTGAGGGTCAAGCATCCCTGGGTCTCGTTGGACCAGCTTGCTTCATGCACCTTTAGAGGCAAGTTGGTTGAACCACCACTCCTTTCATCCCCAGCCAGCAGGGCTACCTCCTACTTGCTAGGGATGGTGGGAGCTGTTGTTGCAACAGAACAACACAGTTTTGGACTGTGCTACTCTTGCAATGGAAACCACTATGAGTGAACTGTTTGGGAGGAATGCTACACCGTACTTTTTCCATCATACAAGGGCTATTTTCTCTCAAAAAATAGAGCAGAAAGGAAGCTATGTCTATATGACTTCACCATGACACTGTGCTCCTTAATGGCAAAATGTACTCCTCTACAGGAAAAATATAGAAGAGAATTCGGGAGCCAGAATTTGGCTCGAGAACCTATGAAATGTGTCATGATATCACTAGTTTAGGTATTTTAGAAATAACTGTTTTTATTATTTTTTAAATTAAATTTACCTTGCAAATCTTTCCCAACACCATTTCTACAGTACTTCTTCTGTATCCAAGAATGCAGCTAGCTAGCTGAACTGATAGGACACAGGAAAGACTGCAATCTTAACTTTGTCCTGTTTTGTAAAATTATGACTAATAATGGGCAGGATTGATCTGACTGGAACAGGCAGTACATAAATGTGTTTGCTGGAGCAGAGTTTTGTGAATACCTTACCAAAAGAAAGTCAAACAAGTGGATCCTAGATCAAATCAAGACAGCTTTACCTAGAGGTAAACATGACAAATTTGAGGCTGTCATGCTTCAGACAAATAGTGAGAAGGCGAGACTCACTGGAGAAGACAATCATATTAGGGAAAGTTGAAGGCAGAAGACAAAAAGGAAGGCCAACTATGAGATGGATTCAGTCTATGGAGGACGCCACAGCCTTGAACTTGGAAGAGCTGAATGGGGCTGTCACAGGCAGAACATTTTGAAGGCTTTCATTCAAAGGTCGCCATAAATCAGAGGCAACATGATGGCATATAGCACACACAACTGTATTTCAGCATGCTCACAGTCATGGGCTTCATAGAAGTGGATGCTGATTCCATCCTCTCTCTCCTTCCCATCCTCTCTTTCACCCAGTTGTCCTCAGCCTGGTGAAGTCTGTACTTTCTAACCCAGAATTGCAAAACATTAAAAACTTAGAATTTAGTATTTTCTAACATAGTATCTAATCCCCTTCCCCACCCCAAACATGCAGAAATAGATCAGGTTCAGCTTTTATTTGGCATAGAGGCAATGATAAATGAGACCCCCCCCCACCTCCTCAATATCTGTCATGCAGAGCTATAAATTAAAGAAAGGCATGGGAAAAACAAATGGTAATGCTAAAGGACTGTCTTCTCCTGTATATACCTACCTGCCCATTAAGATCTGGGCAAGAGGTCCTTCTAAAAGAGCCATCCCTTGAGATGGTGAGAGGGATGGCAAACAGAGAAAGGGCCTCTTAGGTGGCTGCCCCCCAGATATGGAAAAGGCTGCCCAGAGAGATTTGCCTGGCGCCAACATTATTCTCTTTCTGGCGCCAGGCAAAAACATTTCTCTGTACCAGTCATTTTAACAACTGATTTTAAGTTATTTAATGTTAATGATGTATGTAGTTGTCCTTCTAACTCGCTATATTTATTATTTTATATGGCCACTATGATATTGTCACTGTTTTATTACGATGTTTCATATTATGCTTTTATTGTTTTTAAGAATTATGTATTGATTACTGTTTTAAGCCAGCTAGACATCCCTGTCAAGATAGACGGTCGCATACAAGCACAACAATAAATAAATACTAAATGGTATGCAGAGGGATTGGTTTTATTTCATGATTTCCTCAACTGCATTTGCATTCCACCCTGCCAGTGCTTCCTAACAGGATTGCCGCTGGCAGTACTTCCACATTCCATTTCGCTCCCACCTCAACTGTTGCTCGTCGCCCCCGCATCTCTGCGCCACACGCGGGGAGCGCCACGTTAATACCTTATGCCTCCGACGAAGCGGGCAGCACTCCATAAAACCCTTTGCCGCAATAAATGCTTGGCTCTTGGCGGTGCCACGCAATTCCTTGCTGCTTCGGCAGCCACCGGCTGCCCCTCTGAAAGCGACCGCCGCACAGGGGCTGGCTTCCGAGCCGCCACGCACAGCGGCGGGCACCGGCAGCGTCTCCCTCCTCCTCGTCATCCTCTTCCCGAGAGGGCCCGAGGACCGTTGCGCACGTGACGGGAACCAGCCCCTCAGAGGCCTCACGGCGCATGCGCCCGCTTTGTTGTCATCCGGGGCCTTCTGCGCCGGCCCAGCCGCGTGGAGTCGCGGGTGTGGCCCTCGCTGCGGCGGCGGCGGCGGCGGCGGAGGGGAGGTCCCTGCCATCCCGCCCCGCCTGAGCTCGGCCATGTCTCACGGGCACAGCCACGGCGGGGGCAGCTGTTGCCATGGCGACGCCCACGAAGAGCCTCCCGAGCGGCGCGGCCAGGCCTGGAGCCTTTACCTTCGCATCGACCTGGAGCGCCTGGAGTGCCTGAACGAGCGGAGGGAAGGCAGCGGGGCGCTCGTCTTCCGCGCCTGGGAGGACCGCGGGGACCGCCAGAAGGTCGGCTGTGCGCGGCTCTCGCACGTGTGTCTGCCCCGGCGGGGCGGGATGGGAAGGGAAGGGGTGGGAGGGCAGGCGCTCCCCCCTGGGTCCGGCCAGCGCCGAAGCCCGCGCGCGGTTTTGTGCATCGGTTGTTGCCGAGCCGTGCGTTTTCGTCTTGTCTGAACCCAGCTGCTCTAACTAGCCATGACTTGCAAAACAGCAGACAACCAACGCATGAAGAAAATGTATGGTTTGTTGTGGCCTGTTCTTGGTTCAGGCGATAGGAGAACTCATATTCCAACTCTACCTCACGTTTCAGTACCGTCCATGGTTCTGTGATGGATCACATTCGTCCCAAACTGAGCCCGTGAGTGCCAGTTATTTTGTCGTCTGAACCCTGGTCATTGATCCTGCTTGAAGGAAAAGCGGTTTTCACATAGGAAGTACTGTATAGCTAACTGGCAGTTCTAAATAAGATCCCTACTCTCAGCATACTTATTGTAAAAGAAAATTCTGATCAAAACAGATAGGGCTTTCCATGCTCAGGGGCTCTCCAGATGTTTTGCTGTGGTGGCTGGGAGTTAGGAGAATTGTAGCCCAACATTTCTGCAGGGCTGCAAGTTAGGGGAAGGCTGAAATTGGGTTTCGTTCAGAGAAAAGATATTTAGGACAGGAGTGCTAATGTGAACTACAGTTGTTTGCTATTCAGAATTGCAGCTGTGGGCCAAAAGTTCACACCCCTTCCAGGGATATTCTTGCTGTGAGCTTTAAACTTTTTTTTTTTTGCACATTTGCATTTTCTTTTTCCTGAGCCCCCGTGTTACAGACTATACCAACCCCCAAAGAGCTTTGTGACTCACAAATTAATTACGCCAGGATTTTCTATGAACTTAGGTTGGTAAAGCAGGTTGGAAAACACTTACATTTTTAAATAGAAAACTTTCCATTTTATATCTATATCTATCTATCTATATCCTGAGTAGTCATTCCTTCAGAATTGCAGTCACCTGGAAATCCTTCATAATGACAAGTGCTGGGTATAGGGAGAGAGAGTGCACGTGCATGTGCACCTGTGATAATTTAGCAAGGGCCAGGCTAGGCAGTCTAAAGAATGGATTTTAGTTGTGGTACAACAATATTCCAAGTACGATGTTCTATTTTTTACCATGGGTGAAAAACAGGTCTTTTCTGTGCTACATGGTGACAGAACTCTGGGAACAGGCTTGGTTTTATTGGCTTTTATTGACCAGAATAGCACAGCGTGAGTTAGGCAGCGTTAATGTCATGTGTAAGGACAGGAGGCATGACTCAGGTGCCGCTCATAAGGAAAGCTTCGCAGTCAACACCCTATGTTTGTACCAATGGACATATTTGAAATCCATAGCAATCTTTAAATTAAAGCAAGTTGGTCGGGATCCTGGAAAAAGAAGACTTTAGTTCTCTCCAGGTAGATGCATGCTTCTTCCCTTCTTTTCTCTCTTTCCTTTATTATTTCCTAGTTTAAAAACAGAACATATGACCATTTTCACAGTAGGCCAGGGAAACCCTTCCTTCTATTGCTGCCTTAATTCAAAAGCCTCACCACTTAAGCTAGTTTATTGATATCAAGTCCCCTCCTAAAATGAATTGTCGGGGAGTGGAACTTAGTTTCCTTTGCCTAAGTGAATGTAGGTTGTTTAGCTGGCGTGACCTGAACATCCCTGCAAATTCTATCATGTCAGTTTGTCTTGAGTTTCAAATGAAATTCCCCATTTTGTAGCTCATCCTGAAGAAATGTGCATGCTAACTGGTCTGCTTTGAGACTACACACAAATGTTTCCAGTATGGTTGTAGAGAGGGATATGTCACCCATTTCTTTGAAGCAAGAAAGGCATAGTCTGCCCCTACTGCTGATCAACATAAGCAGTGCATTGATTATGAAAGGTTAGGGTTAGTTACCACCATCTGGCCTAGTCATTTTGTGCATTGTCTGAGAGGGTCAGGCTGAGCTCCCTGTAGGTTTGCTTGTCTCCTAACGGTTGCTTAGTTCACACTCTGAGATCACAAAATTGGGATTGGGTAGATAAAGTAAAGGAATGATCCCTGCCTAGACTTATAGATTTAGATTTAAAGAACAAAAAAAAAAAGGAGATGTGAAAGAATACAGACTGCACTTCATATTTGGCCTTTGGTTAAGTCTTTATTTCAGTATCTAGGAACTCTTACAGTCTTCATCTAAGATAAAAGAGCATATTAAAGTAGATTAAAACACTATTTTGGTGCATTTTTCTGAAAGTTTGAGTATTTCCTAGTAAGAGAATTATCTGTGGGTGGATAATGGAAAGAGGAGAGGCGTGGCCATGGAAAGCAAGGACAGGCTTTCCTGCAGGTCTCTTAAGGCACAAAGCAGCAGCTGTGCCTCACAGACACTGCTCTTCAGCAGAATTGTGCTCTCCATAGCCATGTCTCTGCTCTCGTTACATTAGCCACTCCTGTGGGGGACAAGAAATGGTTTCCGTCAGCAGATTTGAAGGATGCCCCCTGGCTGGAGTGAATGAGCATTGCTTCCAGATGCCTGGGCAGGAAGGTACTCAAAGTGTGATAGAGGGATGCTCCTTTATTTCCTTTAGGAGGAACTGATGGTTAGAGTGTTGGACTGGGACTTAGGCGATCCAGGCTCTAGTCCCTGCTCAACTATGAAGCTCACTGGGTGGCTTTCTGGGAGTCACTGACACAGTTTAGCTTGCTTCCTGGGTTGCGGGGTGGGGATAAAAATGGGGGAAAGGGCCAGGTAAGCTGCATTGGGGGAAAGGGCCAGGTAAGCTGCACTGGGGGAAAAAGGTGGAATATTAGTGTAATGTTAAATATAACAAATGAACAGTGATATGGTAAGATCTGTGCATTTATTTGCAAGGCTTTCTTACAGTGCAAGTCAAGGCAAGATGGCCTTGCACGTTCTCAGAATTTTCTGTGCATTTGTGAAGTTTAGAAATCTGTTTTTAAAAATAAATTGTAAAACCATTAACAGAATACCATTAGACAGACCGGCTGAATGTGAAAACTCTTATATTTCTTTTTCCAGTTTGTAGAAAGTGATGATGATGAAGAGCTTTTGTTCAATATTCCGTAAGTACCTATTTTGTATGTGTATGTGTTTCACTGACATTTGGGACTGTCCATGTTTAGTTTTGGCTTCTTTTCTTTTGAAGTCTGTCTTGAACTACCAGAGCATTTGAGGAAAAACTTGTGAAAGTCAAGGTGTGGGCAGTACTTTTACAAGATGACTGCTTAAATTTATTTTTTCACCTCATTTTCAGCCAAGGTTGGCTCTCAGATTAGCTTACAATTAAAATATAAGGTACCTTATATTAGACTTGTTTAAAGGGTTTGTGGCATAGAAATGTTATAATAATAATAATAATAATAATAATAATAATAATAATAATTTCTTCCAGATGTCAGCAGTTAGTGTAGGCTCTTCCATTAAGAGAAAAGTCTAGAGAAAACTGAAGATGGATTGAGGGGCAATAACTAATAGTAATTAGCCCACAGAAGCAGCCCTTCTTATGATCTGCAGCATCTTCTGGTTCTAGAAAGAATGTTAAATTTGTGATGCGACTATTTGGAAATCCACTGACATACCTTTCCTTTTAGATTTACAGGCAATGTAAAATTAAAAGGGATAATTGTTATGGGAGAAGATGATGACACACATCCATCAGAAATGAGACTGTAAGTGACAGATCATTTGTGGTGACTTCTTGTGCAGTGAAAGCTGGTACTCAAGATAATCAGTTTCGTACTAAGATAAATATCTGTATAGTTCTTCATTCTTGCTTCAACTGTTAAGAATTATGCATCCAATATTAGATACTGAGTTAGCTTCCAGTGAATGGCTGAGCATCTACTGCTTAATTTGAAATCCTCAGTGTTGTTACAAGCCTGTAAAGGGAAGAATTAACTGACTTGAGTACAATTCAGGCTCTTCTCTATGTTTTTGGCCCCCTTTCCCCTCTTGGAGTTTCCAGGTCACTGTGTTATAGTGACAGCAGAAATCACAGTTTCCAAAACTTTCCTGCCAAGTTCCAGCCTCTAAACATAATCTGATGATCCACTGCCTTTCTTGTCCACTTCCTTTCTGCTGTTTAGGAATTATCCTTTCTGTCTTTAGGCCATCTATGCCCCTCAGTTCTACTTTTTCCTCAACCATGTCCTTTCTTCAGCTCCTCCTTTCTGGCAACCATTTTTCTTTGGGTCCTTGCATTTTGACTGTTGTCTATTTCTGCCTTCCCCAACTTGCTGGCTGGAGGATAATGGGAAAGCTGACCAACCAACTTTGTTCTACTTCTTTTAGCTATCTTGTCTCTTGACTAGCTTTCCTAGCATTCTGTTTTTCCTTCCCTAAGTACCACACAGCATCTCCTGAGTTTAAACTCTGTGAGGTCTCTTAACAGCCTATTCTGCATCTGTCTTCAGCCCTCGTCCATTAGCTTTCCTACATCCTTCAGTGCGCTCTCAGTCAGTTGCTAACCCTGTTATAGTGAATCCCAGCCAAATGGACCGCATTCTCTACCCTAACAGAAACCAGGTGGCCAGCTGCTGTGTCCCCCGAGACAATAGAACAATTACTGTTGTAATGGCTTTCTTGAATTCTTGCATTGAGCATTGGATTGCAGGAATTTGGTTTAATAGGTTGCCGTTCTGGCATCTCTGGTTGCTTGGGGATAGAGGCACCAAGAGCCATGGTGGTGATTGGAAATGTGACAGAAGAACTCTCAATTGCGTTTTTTATATGTATGCATGTGTATGTATATATGACACTACTGATACACAGACCCGGTTACCTAGGAAGCCATGAATTGTGGTTCAGTTTGTTTCTAATAGAAATAGTAGTTATCTCTTCTTAATAGTGCACTAGAGTATGCAATGTCCTAAACAAATGAGCGGTCACTTTCTTCTTCCTAGTTTTTGTCTTCTGATTTTCACTTTTCTGTTATTTTTGTTGCTACTTGTGCTAAGTCTCCCATATCAGAGCCAAATAAGTACAGCTACTGGGTACTGGAGGGGATGCATAAGCTGACATGAACTTTGTGCAGGTTGATTCTTGCCTTGCCTTTTTCCAGGTTTAAGAACATACCTCACATGTCCTTTGATAATGTTGCCAGAGAACCGGATCAGATGTTCAGCCTGAATCGTGATGTTACAGGAGAACTGGAATATCCAACGAAGTATGTCATTGTCTGTGCGGTCTTTGCTGAGGGGGTGGAGCAATTCTTGTCCTGAAATCTCTCAGCCACAAACTTCCCAATGTGTAACAGGTGCCTCTGAGGCTTCTCCCCAGTAGTTCTTCACATACCTTAACTAGCCTCCCCCAACTTTCCACAGTCATTGTCTGTGCTGGGAGGTGATGGGAAGTGTAGTCCAACACAGTTGGACTGACAGTTTCTCTCTCTGTCATTTGGGAAGGCAGGATTAAAAGAGAAAGACCATTGATAGCATTCCTTGGAGCATAGCAGATTAACTGGTTTAGCTTTCGACCATGTAGACTTGCCCTACATGGTGGTGGGTGGGGACAGGAGCAGCGGAGAGGAAGGGACGCTGGGCCAGAGAGGCCCTCTGAGGCTTATCAAGCTGCGCTCAGCCCTTGGCGATACCAACGGACACGGTGCCAGTGGTGTCATCCCTTGGCAGTGGCCCAGGCTGCCCGGGGACTCTCTTCCCTGGGGGCAGTTTTTAAATTATTTTTTAAATTTTGTCCCTGTGTGTATGTGGAGGGGTTTGTCTAGGAGAACTGGGCAAGTGAAGAGTAGTGCAGGACAGACAAGGTGGGGGAAGAAGGTAGCGCCTGCAAGGGGTACCCAATGTCAGGTCAGGAGATGGGCTTGGCAGGAATCACAGGTGTTACTGTCCACTGCAGCAGCTGTGACATGTTTCCCCTTCTCTGTCAGGAGAGGCAGGGATACACTTGCCCTCAGTGCAAGCTGGTGTCCTTCCTAGAGGAGGAGGTGAGCAGTCTGAGGGCCGAGAGAGCTCTCCAGGCCCCCCTGGGAACAGTCCCCCTCCAGACAGAAGGTTGAGGGAGGGGCCGTGGGAGGAACAGCCAGGGAGACATGGAGGCATGTCACCCACAGAAGGGTGGGGTGCACGGGGATTCCCTGCTGAGGGACACCGAGGTGCAATGTGCTGCCCTGACCTTGAGGTAAGGGAGGTCTGTTGCCTGCAGGGGTTACCAGCCACCTCTGGTGATCCATGTGGGGATGAATGGCACAGCCAGGCAGGGGGTGGGCAGGACCAGCAGGGACTTCGAGGCCTTGGGAAAGAAACTCAGGGACCTGAAGGCTCAAGTGGCCTTTTCCTCTATATTACCGGTCCGGGGATTTGGGCCAGCCAGGGAAAGGAGGGCTGCCAAGGTGAACAACTGGCTCAGGGTTTGGTGCCAGAAGTAACAAGCGGGGTCCCCCAGGGCTCTGTCCTGGGGCTGATCCTGTTTAATCTTTTCATTAATGACATGGAGGAAGGGGTGAACAGTCTGCTGATCAAATTCACAGACAACACTAAAACTGGAGCAGTGGCCACAACTGAGGAGCAGGCACTCCAGATCCAAAAGGATCTGGACAGAATATGGAAGTGGGCAGGAGACAACAGGATGGCGTTCAATGTGGACAAGTGGAAGCTTTTGCACTTGGGGCATAGGAATGGGTGTCATAAGTACAGGATAGGGGATAAGTGGCTGGAGAGCAGCACTTGTGAAAGGGACTTCAGGGTATTGGTTGACTGCAGGCTAAACATGAGTCGCAGTGTGATGTGGTGGTCAAGAGGGTGAACGCCACCCTTGGTTGCATTGCCAGAAGTGTGGCTTCTAGATCGAGAGAGGTATTGCTACCACTCTATATGACTCTGGTGTGCCTGCAACTGGAGTATTGTGCTCAGTTCTGGACCCTTCGTTACAGGAAGGATATAGCCAGTTTAGAGTCAGTGCAGCGTAGGGCCACAAGCATGGTGGCCAGATTGCAGGGAAAGCCGTATGAGACAAGACTGAGGGAACTGGGTCTTTTCAGCCTGGAGAAGAGGAGACTCAGAGGGGAAGTATATGTTGGCATCATATAGGTATGTGAGGGGGTGTCACACGGAGGTGGGTAGAGACCTGTTCTCCCCTGCAGAGGAAGGCAGGACGCGCTCCAACGGAGCAAAGCTCAGGGAACCAAGGTTTCGTTTGGATGCCAGGAAGCACTTCCTGACAGTTAGGACCCCAAGGGTGTGGAATGGGCTTCCATAGGAGGTGGTTGAGGCCCCATTGGTGAGGGTATTCAAGGATAGGCTGGATGTCCACATGGTGGGCATGCCATGAGCAGAGCTGGCTGGAGCCAGGGGTCAAACTAGATGGCCTTTGTCACATATAGAAAGTTGTTTGATTGCTGTTCCTATGCTCAGGCATTGAGTGGGAAATTCAACTAAGAAGAGAACCAGAAGCCATATAAATGAGATATACTACAAAGATGTATGACATATATTTTGCAGAAAGCAAAACAGTCTCTGAAAGTCATGAAGGGTACGGACACTGGAAAATCCACAAAGTCATGGATTTACTTGAGTGACTTTAACAGGTAGTATCTGATAAGGGGCTCATTTAAAAATGTACATTGAAATCATCGAGTAGTAGGTTCTCGGACAAGCATGTCAGCATTGCTGGCATGTATTTCCTGCTTTGTTTCTTGAGACAACAAAAGCCCACGCAATTACAAATTCAGTCAGAAAGACAAGGTATCAGCTTTGCCAGTTTCTGAGAGTGGCCCATTATTTGAGGCCCAAACAGCCCTGGTTTTCCATTCTTGTGTGATTAACTGATAGCCTTTACTGCTTCAGAGATGAGGATGTAATCTCTTGTGTGTAACTTTCATTTCAAATGCAGAAGGTCAAACTTTTTTTCTTCCAGAATTGCTCGCTTCTCAAACGTGCATCATCTCTCTATCCATTTCTCCAAGAACTTTGGTGCTGAGACAACAAAGATCTTTTATATAGGCCTGAGGGGAGAATGGACAGAAGTAAGTGTGGGGCCGAGGTGACAAATGGAAAGGAGGAATGTGCAGAGAAGGAGGGAGGGCCATACTGGTCTTCATACATTATTACATTTATGACTGATTGGACAGATTAAGTGCTGTACAGAAATCTAAAGTGTAATGGCCAAAATACAAATGGAAAAGAGAGGGATCAAGCAAAGTCAGGTACCAATTCTTAAAGTTATAAATAAAGTTATTTCTTTACAGTATTAAGTAGGTGGTCTTAGGAGAGGAGGAGCCAAATTACATGTAGTTTTGTTTGAGCTGAGCAGAGGTTCTTGGTATAGATTTGGACTGGATGCAAAACCAGTGTGACAAGGAATGGTGATCGTATACAATGTTCCTCGTCCCACTGAGTGTGTTTGCTAACGGCTATGGTGGCATAGTGGAAGTCTGGTGCAGTGGCTCATTCCCTGATGCCCACATCCATTACAATATGCACAGGGTCTACCTGTAACTGTTCCGTAAAGCCCCTTTTTGCATACCCCACTCTTATTGGTTCTTTCTAGTGTTATTTGATATGGTGATAGTCAGGAGATTCAGTCATTAAAGGTGCAATCCTTTAGACAGCAAAAAAGTCCTACAACTCCCAGCATTCCCTAGCTTGTATGGGAATGCTTGAAGTTGGACTTCTTTTTTGTATTATTATATTATTATTATTATTATTATTATTATTATCATTATTATTATTATTATTATTATTATTACATTTCTATGCCGCCCCTTTTGTCTAAAAACACATAAGATTGTACCCTAAAATGAGTGTGCCAGCTCTGCCACTACATTCATAAAAGTGACTAGCTCCCATACTTGCCTGACTGAGCCTCCCTCAGTAAGTTCTAGCACATGGAAACAGACCCAGTTCTCTTCCCTTTCATAAAGGGTTGCTGGCCTCACTGCCTGTTGGTGTTCTTATTCCTCACAGGTAATTTAGCAATTAATACTCGCAAATTGGAAATTGGAATGTTCCCTCAATTTCAAACCCGTTACCATTTTATATATCTACCATATAATCTGCGTGAAACTGGCCAGGTTCCTGTGTTCGGCTAGCTCAGCATCTGCTTTGGCTATTGGAAAGGATCAGAGTGCCCCAGTGGCTAAAGTAGGGAATTTTCAAGTGGGCAGTCTGGTTTGTTTTTCTCTGCCATTTATCATCATTGCCTTCCACCCCTAAATTTGCATTGCGATTTCAAAGCTGATGTGGCTCTCTCCCCCACAAGCTTAGTGCCCCGCCAAGCTAAACAGGCAGTGACTGGCATTGCAGTCATCCTCCCATTTTGACCTGTGTACCCCACAAGCCTGAATGGTTGCAGGCCATGCTCCTTTGGCTGGGTGGGCATGTCCCAAGAAGGGAGATCACTTAGCTATTAAAAGCTTGGGATTCCCATTCCCATGCTGCACGGGTTGCAGCTGATGGCCTTCATGGCCCTTCCAGCTCTACTGTTTTGTGATTCTACGGTAAGCACAACCCTCCTCAAGCAAGCACAAATTATCCAGAGTTGTTGTCTAACAGTGAATCATGGACAAAACGTACAGGGATGATGAAAAATGTTGATGTTAAATGGAAGGAGGATCAAATCACTGTTCCAGCTTTGAAAAACTTTTATAGTAGCATCTTACATTTTCTTCTTGTTTTTATGCAGCCTCATCGACATGAAGTGACTATCTGCAACTATGAAGCGGCAGCAAATCCAGCTGACCACAAAATTGATCAGATCAGACCACAGACACACTTCATTTCCTAACTGCAGCGCTCAAGCTGCAACAGGCCATTGGGCAGACTTAGGAGCATGTGAAATACTTGAGGCTCTGCCAAGCACTGTAGCTTTAATTCTTTTGTTGGGGGTGCTTTTTCTGGGAAAGCAGGGCACCCAATACTGGGCAGATAGGTAAAAATCAAACTATTGCTAAGGACAATCATGGCTTGAGAACATAAAAGTATCAAAGTAGTAAGTCTTGAGAATATTGGCCTCTGCCTACCTGCCCAGTCGTTATCTTAACTATCTAATAATCTGGTTGGAGCAGAAATATACTGAGCCAGTGAACTCCGTTTCTATTCCCGCTGCTGACATACATGAGATGAGGGGTTGTTGGCCGACTTGATGTGGGGCTGTTGCTTTTGAATGGAACTTACACAGGTTGATAAAGTATTGGTGTTCTGTGTGAGCTTTTGGCTGATTCCCAAGCATGTTAAAAGTGACTTATACAGGGCAGTAATGATTTGGCTGTGCACCAAAGCACTGCATGTCTTTCCATGAGCATCATTAAGTAGGTTTCTTGCTGACATCTAACAGCTTCCTCTGTGTGTCTAAACATGGGAGAACAAAAAACCTAGGTGTTTGTTTCTTCTTGGGACACCTTTCTGGCTGATGTGGCTTAATATTTTCTAATAAATGTGGCAAAGACTATGTCCGTGTCCCTTTTGTTGCAACATTTAGTAACTGGCCAAAGGTTGCTCCATTACGCTTCATTTCTGAATGGGGATTTGGACCTGGGTCTTGTCTTTTCAGCATTATTGGTTCTAGAAATGCCTTCTAGTCTCGGATGGATTACTTGTGATTGCTGATGAAGAAGCAGAACAGAATCGAGCAGCTGCTGCACTCAAGTTACCTCTGTAGCATAGGAGTAGCGAACCCCCTTTCATCTCTTCAGGGCTGGGATCTCTTGAGAAGCAATTTGCATACGAAGCAGCAGGTTGGAGCAGAGGCACAAGTGAGTAGAGCCACCTGTTTTCTTTCTTCCTGACAGCAGCCCAATGGAGGAAAGGAGAGACTGCTCTTGCCCAAAGTGTGTGCCCTTACCAGTGGTCGCTACACATGAGCGTGGGTGGTTGATTTAGCTGTTAGTATTTGTAGCAGTTTATTAATGTATCTTTTGGGAATGTGTATAATCCACTTCATAAAACTAGTTTGTTTATTTATTTATTTAGAATATTTTTATCCCATCCTATACAACCAATTGTCTCAGGATGGCTTAAAATATAAATATGAAATGGGTCCAGATAATCGGTTTCATCCAAGAGTGCTTGGAGTTGTCCCACCACCACCTGCTCCAACTCCTTGCCCAAGAACGGGATGTTGGCCACCAGTCTAGAATTGGCGGCCACCTCTGGGTCTAGGGACGCCTTCTTCAGGTCTGGTCCGATCACCACCTCCTTCAGAGGGGCAGGGACCCAGCCCTCCCTCAGCGAGGCATTGATGACCTCCTGGACCCAGGTCCCAATCCCGTGTTTGGCTCTGGCAAGTAGCCACAAAGGGCAAGGGTCAAATTAACAGGTGGTGGGGCATACCAGTCCAAGCACCTTGTCCACGTCATCAGGCCGCAACAACTGAAACTCATTCAACAGTGATGGACCAGATGGCGCTCTGGACACTTCCCATGGTGGAGTCCCAAGACCAAGCTTCTCACTTCCAGATCACCAGTCTTCCTGCCCTGTTTAAACTATTTAAAGTAGTGGCCATTGCCACACCTTAGGGCATGTCATGCTAATTTTGTGTCATATGCCATTAAGTCATTTTGACTTACAAGGACCCCATGAATTAAAACCCTCCCAAATGCACCGTCTACGACAGCTCTGCTCAGCTCTTCTAAGTTTAAGACTGTGGCTTTCTTTATGGATTCAATCCATCTCATAGCTAATTCTGTACTTTCTGAAAAAGTAGAGTACTAGCATGCTTCTGAGTTGCAAGTTCAGCAGTTTGGCAACAGAATTAACTAGGCTCAATCCTATATGCGTATGTCAGAATAGACCCTATTGAAATGAGCAGGTGTTTTTTCTGAGTAAATGTGCATTGGATTGTACTAAGTGCCATTTAGTGTGTTAAAAAGCAGTAAACCCTCTGTTGCCACCAGTATTCACTCAGCAGGCAGCTACAGCCATATGAAGTGCTCTGCCTATAGGGTAATGGTGTTTTGCATTCCAACCTCATATTTGTAGTGGTACATTTTTAAACATCTTAATCGTATACTTCAGGCTGATAAATGCCAGTGCTCATGAGGGAGGAAAAAAATAGGCATGCTTGTTTCATAACCACTCGCTCAGTAATGGTGGTGAGCAAGCCACTTCCATGGAACTTAGGCTTTGCCAAAAAGTTTTGGAACATTAACAGTAATTCTATTTTATATATTCTCACAAGGAAAGCTTGCTCTATGTTCAGAATGCCAAAATCCCGATGGGTAAAAATTAACCTGTGAACTTTGCACGTTTAACAGGTAGCTGGGAATACTCAGTTAATGGAGAACAAATGAAAAAGCAGGATACACTGCCAACTAATTAGTGCAAAAACAGCATCAGTGACATACGGAAGTTATGACTACTTATAGGAAGCGCCAGTATTACTATTAACAATAATGCTCACCTTACTGTTTACCATCATAAATTAGGAACTTAAACATCAAATGCTATTATAGCCATTGACGAATACCAACAGAACATCATCACCCCTATGAATAATATACATCATCAAGCTGAGATTGTTTACTATTTTCATGCCATTCGTCATGGCAATCGCCCTTTAAGTGGACAGAATAAAATAAATGGAATGACACAGCCTTTCCCCACTTGATGCCCTCCAGATATGTTAACGACAACATCCATAACCCACCCCAGGCAGCGGGGGCTAATGGGAGATGTAGTATCAACACATCAGGAAGGCACCGAGTTAGGGGAGGGCAGGCTCTGAAGAACAAGGCACCAATGAAGCTACCAAGATGGCCGCCCCCTCAGAGCCCCTGTTACCCTCTCTTCCGGGTTCCGTACCAGCTGGAGAGCAGCGTGTGACGTTACTTCCGGCAGACCCGCAGGTTGGGCGGGCCTTTCCAGCTCGCGCGGGCTGGCCGCGGCGGAAGTTCCGTAGCGCTCTGGCAAGCTCGAGCCTGAGTCCCTCAGTTGGAAGCCGGGTAGAAAGAGACAGACGGGAAGGAAGAGGTGAGGCGGGGGGGGAGGAGGAGGAGGAGAAAGGCAAGGAAAGAGCGGGGCGGTTGGAGCGCGCTCGCTTGTGTCGGCCCCACTCTCCAGGTGGGGGGTGGGTGTCTCCTCACCGAAGGCTAATTGGGCAGGGGCTTCTGAAGGGGGGCGGGTGGGCCAGGCTGCGCCTGAGGAGGGAGCGGGGGGGGGTTAGGAGGGGGCCCAGGCATGTGAGGTGAAGGGTCGGGGAGGGGGCTCGAAGAGGGCGGGGGCCGGAGGGAAGGCGGCTGTGAGGGTGGCCGGAGTGAGGGTGTGGCGTGGAAGTGGCACCTGCTGGGGGAGAAGGAAAGGGATACGGGCGACGGCGCTGGCTTCTTTCTTCAGGTAAGGGGAACGGTCTCTGCCAAGGCTGAGGCCATCAGGGTCGCAGGTCTGAGGCGATGTTGAGGGAATGACGGCAAGCGTGGCCCAGCTACAAAGAAGGACAGGGTTCTTGTCCTTCAGGAGAGGGGTTCCGGGCAGGATTACGCCTCCCTCCTCTGCACAAAAAGGTGCCACCTTTTAACTTATGTTTTAAGAACAACTGAGTGTCCCAACTGGCCTCCGCACATCATGGTTATTCTGTGAGGAGAGAATGGATATGGACTGGGAGATGTAGGCAGTATTGAGTAGAAGCTTGGAGGAGACCTAGGCGGGGGGAGATTGAACTGGGGAACAGTCCCTTCAGAAGGTCTAAGATTCCCGGGAACACAGGAGAAGATTATTGTGTTGTGCAGAAGAATAAAGAAGGGTGTATAGCACAATCAAATGAGTTGTCTGTTGAAGTTGTTGGAAGTGCATTTTTGGGAAAATCTAGAATGGTTCTGGATTAACTTCTACTCCATGTTGGAATAGCTTTTGATTGCAAGGTTGCAGGTCAAGATTGTAATATGTTTAACTATTTACATAATTTCGGCTCTCACTTTACTCACTTTTTACCATCTTCACTCTATAAGTTCCTAGCCTAATGGGCTTGCTTAGATTGGATCCAGTTACTCTCTCTTACTTTTTTTTCCAAAGAACAAAGATTGCTAACATTATTTTCTGTTAAACATATATTTATCCTACCTTTTCATTGTGTAATAATTCTTGGTTTGCAACTAACATAATGACAATGCGTAAAAATAACTTACGGCAGGAGTGGGAAAACATAAATGTAGGCAGATACAGTTAAAGAAACCAAACTACTGTACCCAAAGTTTCATTGAAACAAAGCAGCTTTCATTATAGCAGTATTAAGCAATCCCATATGCTTCAGTCAGCTTAGTGAATGCTAGAAATTATAGGAGTTGTAGCCTCCAGTATTTGGAGAGCACCAAAAATGTAGTAAAGGCCTAAAAAATGACACTCTAACTTTTGCCACCATTAATTCAAATTGATATCCGCATCAGTAAGAACTAGAAAAGGATCTTGGGATCTCAACTGTCAAAGCGGTACACATATTCTGCTAGGCTGCACTAGTAGTCATAGAGGTAATACACTGCCATAAATCCACGGATGTTATCCCTTGGTTGACATAAAGCCTAATCCTGAACATGTTTACTTGGAAGTTCCACTGAACGTACAAGTTAAGATTGCAGATTCACTTGTAGTTATGACTAAATGACACAAGTTGTAGTTTTGCTCAGTACTCTTCATTAGAGTACACACACCCCTTTCTTTTCCCATTACCTTGTGCTCAGTTATGCTGTTTCTACTTCTGTTTTTACCCATTAAAAAGAAGATGGCTGGAGAATGAGTAATTTTGAATCTCTGTGGCTTTGTACATAGCTAAGGAACTGATATCAGGAGAAACCTGTATTTTTGGATAAAGAGTTAAACAGTTGCTCCTTCATTCAAAAAAACAAACAAACACCAACTGATAGTATCCTTTGGTTATAGAGAGACTTTGTGTACTAACACACTGAAATTGCAGTTGGCTGGTTGAGCTGCCAGGAAAAAAATCCAAAATCTTTTATTCAGTCCTGCTAAATGTCATGAAGTAATTTAATGAGCAATCTTTCAGGTTCTTTGAAAGCTTGCTCACTTTCTACTTGGCAGCATTTTAGTTGGCCCTCAAAAAGAATCATGCTACTGTCCCTTTTGGGCTTGGTCATGTTTGGGAGCTGTTTGGGTTGTCTTTGTTTGTAATGTGCTTGACTTTAAAGTTCTGTCACTACTGAACAAGCTTTATTATTAATATTGCATGGCTTCCCTTTGTTTAATAGAGAATGAGCAGAGAAATCCTATTCCCAATTTGAACAGCTTGCTTCCCTCACCTTTCACTCAAGTATGGGCATGGAATGCTTATTTTTTCCAATGCATTTTACTCATTTATTCTCATAGAAGCATGCAAGACATAAGAAAATAGAACTGCTTTATTACAAGCTAACTTTAGCTCAGATTTCTGTTTCAGATTGTGGCTAGAAGGGATGCCTCCAGAACAGCCTTTCCCTAACCTGGTATCTTCCAGTTTGTTTACTGCAACTGCTGAGAATGTATGAATGTAAAAAATAATATGGCTAGCTGGGACCTGTCAAAAGTATCTGGAGAGCACAAGGTTGGGAAAGGCTGCTCTAGACGTTCAGACAGTGATGAGCTCTGTTCCCAACAAGAAGTGGATATTCTGCCTCTGAACATGGATGTTTCATCTAGCTGCCATGGCTAAGGGATGACTATTTGCCTAACTCTTTTTAAATGGCATCCTAAATCAGTGGCTAATGCTATTAGGGCATTAGTAGCAATGAATCTTATAGACTTAATTAAGAGTGGTATGTATGCTCTTCTG